AAATAGGTGTCAGGAGTAAAATGATGCCGGGAGGGTAAAGACTGTGCCTTTGGGTGTAAAAGTACAGCTGCAAACTGCCAGGGGACTGTTCAGTGATGTGAATGCACTGACAGTGGAGAGGACTGGCAAGGTACTGAGCACAGCAATCCTCAGCCTTACTGATTCCCAGCAAAAACTGAGGGAAAACGGGGCAAAAACGCCCTTAAAAGTCATTTAGGAAGGATAAGGAGAACTAACACAGTAGCGAAAAAGCAACGTTGAGATAAAACAAAGCAGCAGGTGTAGGGAATCCAAAAGCTACTGTGACAGCCCCAGAAGCCAATCCCAGTAATATATTGCAGCAGGAAGACCTCAGACAATGAAAAGTGGGAGCACCATCGTGCCACTGCACTCCATTACTTTAGCTAATAGAATGATCTGAGCTGAACGAGGCCGGGAAGAATTTTATAGTAATTAGCAAATCTGTTAGTGCCCATTTTTCTTCTGCACAACACAGGAACAAAAGAAAAGCAGGCACAGCTATTAAGGGCAACTGACAGGGAGAAAAAGTGGGGAGACAGGCAACGAGTTGGGCAACTGCAGAAATAAAAATAACAATTCCATTTTTTTATTACAGAACCAGCGTAGGAGGATTTTTAGGTTTGCACTTAACAAAACACAGAGCAACCCTCTAGTAAATATTTAGCACGTAATCATCCACATCCAAGTACTGCTAGTAGGGAAGGAAGAGAGGAAACATAATATATGCATTCACTCTATATAATTCTTGCAACATTCAGTACCTCTGTAAGCAGCTCACTGTGACTTTATCCAGACACCACAAACACAGGGTTGTGGGGGTTTTTTATGCCATGTGGAACCGAGCCACCCCAAGCTGTTTGTACTGAATCCATGAATTTAACCTTCTAGCTCCAAATGAAGTGTATTTATAACGACGTGAGCAAGATGTGCCCTTTTCACTTGATTTCAGCATCTCACTGCCCCTCTGAAGGCTGGAGCAGAACTGCTCTGAACCTGCTGCTGCTCAGGGTGGTAAGAACTCACCCTTTTTTGGGGGGTAAGACAAAGCACGTTTGGTTTTGCCATCCTGGCTCTCTGCATTGTCCTCGTCCCTGTTATTGCAGAAATCCAGGAGAGCCCTGATCAATATGTCTTTGTTGTGCAGCCCTGAATTAACTACATCTCACTTTCCTTTGACAGCGACACAGATCACAGGCAGCTGCCGCTTCCCCTGTGAGGAACACGAGTTCTGGAAAGCATATTCATTATCTGGCTGTTAAAAGCAGCAGAGCATGCAAACCTCACCCTGCCTGGGCTACCTGAGACATCAGCATCTCCCTTTGATTAAGTGACTGCCAGCCAGTCACCTTCTCCCTCTAACCTTGATGTGGCAGGGCTGTGACAAGAGCAGGCAGTGTAACATCCCCGAGTGCTCACAAATAGATGGCTTAATTTGTTTTAATAGCCCGCTCCCCTGCAGCATTTCCACTGCAAACTCTGGGGTTTGAGGGCAAGAACACACATCAGCTCTTGGGATGGAGCTCACCTGAAAGCCAGCTGGCAGGAAGCCAGGGAGAATCCTGACGAGGTCCAAAGCTCCCGGTCAGCTTACTGGCACTTAATAAATTCCAAAGGAATTCCACCCCCACCCCCCCCCAACCGCACCATCTTTGAGTTGCAGGACTCGGGATCAGAAAAAATTGACTTTCAAAAAAAACTACAGCTCCTTATCCAGACCCTCTGTAGCCGAGTATTACTTGTGCACCAACAACAAAACCCCCCAAACCTGAACGAACTTCCATTTCATAATCAGAAGCAAATAAGTCCCGACGGGGTGAGGTTTGATTTTTATTTCACTGGTCTGGCAGAAATAACAGGGCTGTCAGTCACCGACTCCCACAGTGTTGTCGTGGGTCTCATAACAATTTTTTGCAGCTGCTGGAGGAAGGTAATCCCACAGAAACCTCAGCCGTGGCCTCCCTAGGGCCGAGTTGTTATTATTATTGTTATTTTATTATACAACAGTTACCAACGAGGCTACCGAGGTACCACGTCTCTTTTCCCACACTAGCACCCACCATCACCAGCACATTAAAACCCAGGCAGGTAAAGTTTATTTTCCAGGTTTAAGTGGCCAGGCCAAAGAATTCCAGACAGACACTCCACGCTTTTTCCTGGAGCGACGCGACGAGTGGTGTTCTGTACCCGCAGGTGCCTTTTGCCAAGTGAAATCCAGCTCCCGAGCCCTCTGCCAGCCCAGCTGCACGGAGAGGAGGCTCAGCCTTTCTCCAAAGGCTGGGGTAACCTCTGCTGGCAGATCCTCGCTGCTGCACCGGCTCCGATGCTCCTGGAAGGAAGCTCGTGGCTGAGCAGACAAAAAGACATCAGAAGAGGTACATCACCTTTGCTTACTCGTATTTTTGTGCGCATTTGCTACTCCAGAGGATTGGAATTTTTTTAATTGAATGCGTATTTTTAAGGCATGGGGGGATTTAGATAAATTAGGGCCCTGCTCATCCAAGTAGGAACATGTTTTATATCCTCAGACAGCACAGCTTTTATTACCAAGCACGTCTGTAACTGCAGTTTGCAGCTAATCTACATTTTGCTGTTTGAAGATGTGGATACAGCACAGCGAGTGTCGTCTGACAGAGCTGAGGGATGCATTTTATGCATTTGATAACGTCAGTAATGCTATTTTTTTATTATTTTTTTTTAGTGTTTAAACAAAAATGTCACACTCGTGGCTTATACCCAACCTTATCCCACTCCTTCCAGTGGTGATATTTCATATCTGTGTAACACAGGTCTTGTTCATATTAATAGGTACATTAAAGGCTCCAGGTGAGGCCACTGCCAGAAGTTCTGGGAACTACAAATGTTGAGTTGTCTTTTTGCTCTGAGGAGTTTAACATCTAAACAGGTTTTGGGCAGGACAGGAACAAAACACAGGCAACTGATCCATGATTCCAATTTACCTTGACTCCTATTAGTGTGCCTGACTCAGTAGGTGCATGCAGAGATGGAAAACATACAGGATAAATGAGAGCTGCATTTTATTAGAAGCTTCCATTAAATTGGCAAGAAATCAGGTGCTAGTCCTCATTTCAACTATTAACAGTAGAAACAGATTAATTGTCATCTCACCTATGGAAAAGCCTAACAATTGCCTCCCATTCCATTTGCAACTACAGCTTCTATCCCCCTTAATTGAAACCCATAATAGAAAAGCTTCTACGAGGCAAGATTTCAGCCAGAATTAATTCCTTCATTCTCTCTACTCTGCAACTTTGTGTTATTTTACCACAGGCGAAACAGCAGACCACAGCAACAAACATGCTTCAGTCTGAAGGTATCCTGAGAATTCTTGCTTAAGACATACATTTCTAATCTACCAAACCCCTGATTTATAAAAAAAAAAAAAAAAAAAAAAAAGAAAGATCTGTGGCCACAGGACTGCCTCAGAATGAAAACCATCACAAAGCCAACCTGCGTGTTGTTACAAGTCCGACCTTAATGGACCAAAAATATTAGATAGAACTGTCTGTTTAATTAGACACGGATCAAAAATGAAGAACTAAGTGCTTTCCCATCATTCCCTGCAGGTTTTGAAGTTGGCATTTTTCCCCCTCTGCGTATAGTTAGTTGTTTGCCTCAGGTTGTAAAGAAATGCAAGAGGGCTGTTATTAAAGCACCGATAATTTGCTGAACTCCATCTTTTGTGGAACTTGCTGAGTTAGAAAATTCCTTTTCACCTCCTCCCCCACGCCTCCCTGACAAGAATAACCCAAGAACAAATATCACATTATGGTGTTTGGTAAAAGGATCGAGTGTGTTTGCAGTTAAGTGACTACCACAAGACTGAACAAATCCTAAAGCTCAAGCCTGTCCAGCTAAATGACAAGGGAAGTAAGAAAGGATTTGCTTTCTAAAAGTGGATCATAACAAAGACTCATGATTAAGATTTGCTGTGCTCAGTGCTTTTATATTCACAAATTGACTCCTAACATAGTGTTTTAGGAAGTTCTCCAAGCAATCAGAGCCTGAACACGTACAGGAGATAAAGAACTGCCACCACACGAGTGAGAGTCTGAGAATACAGAAACCATTATCCCGGCTCATCAACTGTTCAGAGGTCTGCATTTGCCATTTCACAGCTCCAGCCCATCACAGGGAGGATTTTTATCCACTTTCTTCATGTACCATCCCAGTGGAGCAGAACAGCAGGCTCTGTCCAGGCCAATGGCTCAGGTTTAAACCTGGCAGACTTAGCACTTTCCCCTTCTGCAGAGATTAGTTTCCAAACTGGTACAACTAAATCCTGGGCCTGTTCTCCCATTCCATGGTAGCTGCCACCATTTTTCCCCAGCATTAATATTCCTGTAAACCACGGGAATGAAAAAGCACAGAACCCATCCAATTATCCCCAGCAGGGACCTCAGTGCAGATAAGCAGAGCCAGTGGCTCCATCAGGTGTTCTCATTAAACCTGCTGCCAAACAGGCACCCACAGCCCCAGCCTCTCAGCTGACAAGGAGAAATGAGATGTCAGACAACCAGCAGCAGTATGACCTGCTAAGGAATTAATACCAAGTTGGAAAAGAAAGCAGGAGCAGGCCATCAGCATCTTGATCTCATCAGTCACAGTGCAAACACACGAAGTGCTGGAAATACACCTCAGCAGGAATGGTCTGACAGACCAACCTGACGGCCTTCCCTAAGGAAAACGGTTATGGAGTGCTGGGAAGGGCTGAAGAAGGTGCTTAACGCTGAAAAGAGAAGCAACCTCTGCTACCCTCTGAAGACAGGACTCCACACTGCAGCCTCACACACGCCTGCACGTTGCCACGGGATGGCAGCAAAGGGACAAACTGCACAAACTGCTAATGCCAGAGCTCTGGAGCCTGTGGAAAAACAAGATTTCCAAGAGAAAACTGCTGATGGAACCGTTATTTCACATGATGGCTTCTGGGAAAGAACAATGAAAACAATGCAAATGGATTTTATGAGATGGTTGGTACTATTTCTTGTTTGTGTCATATGTAATTGCACAGCATTCTACAGTTCTTTTGCACCAGGATATTCCACCCCTGTGTTTGGGGTTTGCCTTTGTTTGTTTTTTCTTTAAAGCCTCTGTAGATTTTTATCTACATTTTTATTTACTTTTTTATCTAATGCAGTTCAAGCAGGAACACACAAAGTCCAAATCATGAGGAGATGGGTGGGGTAAAAACAAGAGAAATGAATCACTTTACAGAAAAGAACAACTCAGTTCAGTCTAGTGCTTAGACTTTCCCCAGTGACTTGCAGGGGGGAGCACAAATTTAGTCAGCATTTTACTGGTTCTCTACCCATCTTTTCTGTGTTGTGTGGCCTTTAGAGGGAGACAATTTAAACTGCAACTTTAGAGAGCCAGGAGAAGTTGTGGGAGAACCAACCCTGGCCTAGTGCCATTCCGATCAGATCAAGATTCCAGAGCAGCAAGTGTGTCAAACAGCAAATTAAAAGCACCCTGACTGTTCAGCTGAGCTCATGCAACACAGTTGTCCTCAGAGGGCACGTTCTGACACTGGAATTACTTCATGCACCAGGACATCATGAAACTGAGGTCCCAGAACAGCTCCACCCTTTTGCCTCCTGCACAACCAGGAGTGAAGAACATTTGATTTACCAAGTTCAAGCAAACAGCCCTGCACTGTTCCCTGTCAGCAAGGGGACCAGCAGAGAGCTGTTCACAAAACTAAGACTCCTCTTTGAGGAAACTGTTGCAGAGTAACAAGGGAAGTATTTACAACAAACCCCGGGCGGATCCCTGCTCTTCTCTCGTGCTGCAGGACTTGGACAGAATAACAACTCCATTGGAGTTCTGAATGCTTTAAACTCACTAAGAGGAACATGAGCACTATAGTGACAAATCCCAACACAATTCCTTTAGACTAAGGAGGAAGAAAAACCAACCAACTTTAGTCAGGATCTAAAACATCCCTTCTAGCTGACATAGCAGAACAGGGACTGAAAGGCACCAACCACCAGCTCTGCAAAGCATCAATACTTTCAGCTAGTAATCCATATAAAATGAATAAATAATTCATAATTACATATGTAGTGTACACCATGCATGTCAAGAGGGGTTCCAGAGAGAGAAGCAAAGCGTGCTTTTCTCTCTAAAAGCAGAAATCCTCCCATTATTCCTGTCTCTCTGGAAAGTCTCTGGACTGCAGAGACACAACTGAACCTCCATTTACAGCTGCAAAGCCACATTAGATATTTTTCCCACGGTGTTTTACAGCCTAGATCCTAAAATACAGAGGAAATACTCCAAGGAAATACTGGTACTGTGGCACAGTGCTAGCACAGGTGCACAACAAAGTGAAGGAAGCAAGATTCAGTCCCAGAGAACTAGAGTTCCTTGCTCACTCTGACACCTCTGGCTCTGCCCCCACACCCAACACAAGCCATTTGCACTGAGGCTCTTGTAAAGCAGCAGCTGGTGTCTTGTTCCTTTGGCTTCCAGTCTCCAGTTCCTTCCCTCTGTTGCTCAGATCCCTCAGCTTTCAAACAGGCAGGAGCTCGGGGGGATATTCCCCATAGCAGTACTTGGCAATGGGGTCTCTGTAGGTGTTCTCGTGCTGCACACTCTGTCAGGGAGAGGAGGACAAGCTGTAACAACACACACACACATCCCTTCACCCAGGGCCATAACCCACAGCAGTGATTTCCCAAATTCTTCTACCCGTTGGTGTATCACAGCAACTGGAGTCAGACAAGTCTGTTGCTAAATTACAGCACTTTAATGTTGAGCCATACCCAGAACTCCTTTTCAGGAGACTACTCAAGTAAGCGGGGATAGATTCAATAAATACATATATATATGCTTAGGCAGTATCACCAAATGTCCTAAGCAAGCAAGGCACAATAAAGTTGCTATTTGAGATGTGTGCATTTTTCTTGATAAAGCTAGAGTTCAGATACTATGGTTAAAAAAAATCAAAAAAACAGTTTTGGAGACATTTGGAACTATATCCTGTGTTTGCAGTCCATCCTTATTGCTACATTAAATGCTCAAGCTGCATATGATCACCAGCAGCACTTTCTAAGAGGGCCAATGCTTGCTTAGACCAAAATTAATTCTAAATAAAATCACATGGCTAACAGAAGTTCACCTCTGTTCTTAAAACAAACAAACAAACAGAAATATTACAACATACTTTTTGAGTTTCTGTGCAGATGATTGTCAGCATATGGTAAGTCTCCAACTGTACCATAAAATAAATAGCATTCTGAAGCTACTGGGGACAGCTCTCACTGTTCTCATCCTTATAGACCTTCCTCAGAACTCATCCAAGATCTTCTCTGGTCATTGAACTCAGTCTGGTTTTAGCTAAGCACCTCTTTTTTAAAGAGAGTGTGCAACTTGCCCTGCTCTAAACACGCAGGTGAGCTCCCAGCCACAGCTCCAATGTGTTTATGAACACACCCCTGGACATAAAAGCACAACACACAGGACCAAACTCATTTTTCAAGGGCGCTTTTCTGGGCCCTGGACACGTCCTTGTGCCCTACCTGTGATGAAGTCCTACATTTGGCCAGACACAGCTCAAAGTGATCCTCCACTGCCATGAAGAGGTTTTGGAAAGCAATAGCTGCCCGGTTCAGGAAACGCTCCAGGAGATGTTGCTAAAGCAGCCAGCAAAAAAACACAAAACAGTGCTGTCCTTCAGCAAGGAGCAACCCAAGCCCACCCTCACCTAAACAACTCAGGTATCAGAGGAATAGTAAGCAACTCCACTTAGGATTTCTAGCAAGCACTGAAAGGCTAATCCCTCACAGGCCCCAGCAGTAGGAAGAGAACCTAGAGAAGCTCACAGAACACAGGGAAGTGCCAATTACAAAACTGGAATAGCTTTTTCTGCAATAATTTCCCTCCAGCAAACGCAACTGCCCCGAAGCTGAAACACTTTGCAGGGCTCCCAGTGTTTCCCCACGGAGGTGGGAAGGATGAATTTTGTTAAAAGCTTTATTTACAGCTTGCCAGACGGTCCCTGCAGGCTTTCCAAGAAAAGGAACTGTCCCCTCTAAGGGAAAAGAAGCACTTTTAGGCCCAGAGGAACCTGAGAAGCAGGAGGAGGTGCTCTCACCTTGCTGGGCTGGAGGCAGCAGGACACACAGTACTCGTAGATGCTGCAGCAGCCGTTGGGAAGGCAGCTCTCACAGCTGAACAGCTTCGTGCTGGGCACGTGCACGTCACAGCAGCCATTCACCAGCAGGTCCTTCCTCTCACAGATGTACCCTGGCAACAACAGCAGCAGTAACAACTGGGCAAGGCACACCCCTTTCATCCACAGTAGGAATCAAGTAACTTAAGGACAGGTTTATTTGTCATTTAGCAGGTTATGACCCCCCTCTGTCTGGCAGCAGCGATTCTTTGCAGTGGCACTTGGATGTTTCAAACAGCCTGGTGTTATGTGCACAACCAATATGTGCTACTACTCTAATGTGTGCTGTGTGTACAGTAAGAGTGCTTGAATGCAGAATTTTGAAGTTCTGATTTCTTTTTGGCGTAATTCCTTGTTGGGAAAGGGGATTGGTGATGATTGTACTGGAGAAAAACCTGTGACACGTTCTCTCAACAGCTCTGTGCCTGGATAACACTCCTTACAGATCAGTATGAAGGGACTTAGATTTATCCATGCAGAATAGCTCTAAATTAATTGAGTTAGGGAACCATCAGTAGTACAGAACCATGTGTATGTCCTTATGGAAACTACTACCACAGTGTCAGACCGTGAGACAGAGCTGTAATTTTTAGAGACCTCAGGAATTGGCACCAGCCATAATTAAGGCAGTGCCAAATTTAACATTGATGCAAATGACAAAAAAAGATGTGGTGGGTTTTCTACAGCCTTGATTTCTGGTCAAGAAAGATCCAGTGCCTGAGCAACAAGCACAGTGGGGAAGTACTTGTGTAGGGCAAGAAAGGATCTTAAACTTTTAACACTTAAAACAAGTGGTTGATATCCTTGGGTTTCAAGGGTCAGATGAGGTTGTTAACTGTGACTGAGCACTAATTACACGTCCTGAGCTGCCTCCCTACAAGGTCAATAGTGTTTCCTCAATTACTCTCCCTAACACCTCTGACAGTAGGGACACACTGCAGGGAGACACAAACAGCTCTGCAAGCAATGGCAGTAAATGGAGCAGGACTCAGTGTTTGTGTTCTGTGCAAAGATAAGTGGAATTCTTCGACTCTGAGGTGGCCCTGGGAACAGCACAGCCACACTCACACAGCCCTGTGCCTGAGCTGAGCCTGCACAGAACCAAACCAGCAGCGTGTGCAGCCACAGGGGAGTTCATCCAGCCTGGGGACAAAATGCCAATGGCTGAGTAAAAACACCTTAATAAAGAGCAGTTGTTCCTTGGAAGTGCCACTGACAGACAGACAAAGCAGCGTTCAGCACTGCCACGTGCAGAATAAATTCTTAGTGTCAAACATACCCAGTTCATCTGTAATGAGGAGCTTCCCCTGCACAGAATTCCTGCACTGGTTACTCAGCTGGCTGCTGTTTCCCGGGCTGAACTTCACCTTCCACAGGATGGGCTGCTCGTGCTCCTGCACTTGGAGGAGATTCCGATCTCTCACCATCCTCTCTTCCTGCAAGGAAAGACAGTCGTGCAACCAAACATACAAGTTGCTTCTGCCACTTCAATCCACGTGCTCTTCCCACAATTAGAAATGGCTCATAGTTGTAAACTCCACAGCACAGCAAACTCCAGCACCAGTGGAGTAACCAACATACGACTTGTAGTAGGTTACTTTGTGCAATACATAGGAAGATACACAACCCAGTACAATAGGGGTGTGTAAATTCACCAAGGGATCAGCCAACACAGCTGAACTTGGCCACTACAACCACAAAAGCTGTATAAATTATCTTAAATAACCACAGCTGCACATATTTTCCTTTGGTGAGTCCTTTGCTAGTGGAAATACTGCTCACAAGAGATCACAGAATCATAGAACCACAGAATCAGCTGGGTTGGAAGGGACCTCTGAGATCATCAAGTCCAACCCTTGATCCAACCCCGCCGTGGTTCCCAGCCCATGGCACTGATGCCACATCCAGTCTGTCCTTAAACACCTCCAGGGATGGAGAATCCATCACTTCCCTGGGCAGCCCATTCCAATGCCCAATTACCCTCTCTGGAAAGATACAGCAACAATAACCAACAACAAACAACAACACAACAAACAACAACACCATACAACAAACATCAACAAGCAACACTACAACAAGTTACAGCACACAACAATAAAACAAACAACAACAGGCCCTTCGAGATTTTCTTTTTCCAGTTTCGGTTCGAAACACTGTCGCTGTCAGACACAGTATCAGGCGTTACTATTTTAACCTCTTGTGTGTTTAAATTAAACTCTATTGTGTTTAATAATTACGATGTAGCTCTTACAGCGACTCAGCGCTGGTGAGGCCACCCCTGGAGTGCTGTGTCCAGTTCTGGGCCCCTCAGCTCAGGAAGGCCCTGGAGGGGCTGGAGCAGGTCCAGAGAAGAGCAACGAGGCTGGGGAAGGGACTGGAGCACAAGTGCTGTGAGGAGAGGCTGAGGGAGCTGGGGGGGCTCAGCCTGGAGAAGAGGAGGCTCAGGGGAGACCTCCCCACTCTCTGCAACTCCCTGACAGGAGGGGGGAGCCGGGGGGGGTTGGTCTCTTTTCCCAGGCAACCATCAGCAAGACAAGAGGGCTGGGTCTCAAGTTGTGCCAAGGGAGGTTTAGGTTAGATATTAGAATTTCTTTCCAGAGAGGGTGCTCAGCCATTGGAATGGGCTGCTCAGGGAAGTGGTGGATTCTCCGTCCCTGGAGATTTTTAAAAAGAGACTGGATGTGGCATCAGTGCCATGGGCTGGGAACCACGGCGGGGTTGGATCAAGGGTTGGACTTGATGATCTCGGAGGTCCCTTCCAACCCAGCTGATTCTGTGATTCCGGATTCTATAACTCAGGAGATCAGTGTCAGCAGCCTCAGGACCGCAGTGCCCGCGGTCCGAGGGCCGTTGTACCCCCCCAGCCGCCGCTCACTGACCTGCTTGAAGGTGCTGGTGATGAAGTAAACGAGCGAGAGCCCGAACACGAGGCCGAGCACCCAGCGCTTCCTGAGCAGCCGCCGCCACAGCACGGCCCCGCAGGGCACCATGGCGGGCTCAGCTCCAGCGGGGACGGCCCGGCACCCGCATCCCCGGCGGCCCGGGAGGGAGCGGGAGCCCCGGGAGCGGCGGGAGCCCCGGGAGGAAGCGGGAGCCCCGGGAGCGGTGGAGCCCCGGGAGGGAGCGGGAGCCCCGGGAGCGGTGGAGCCCCGGGAGGGAGCGGGAGCCTCGGGAGCGGTGGGAGCCCCGGGAGCGGTGGAGCCCCGGGAGGGAGCGGGAGCCCCGGGAGCGGCGGGAGCCCCGGGAGCGGCGGGAGCCCCGGGACGGAGCGGGAGCCCCGGCAGGGAGCGGGAGCCCCGGGAGCGGCGGCGGCCCTGGCGCGGCCCGAGCGCTTCCGCCGGCCCCGAGCGGGAGGCGGAAGCCGCGGCCGGGCGTGCGCGGGGCGGGACCGGGAGCGGCACCGGGATCGGGATCGGGATCGGTGGGTACGGGGGGACCTCCCGGGCCGGGCAGGGCAGGGCAGGGCAGGGCTGGCTCCAGTTCCCCTGGGCACGGCGCCGCGTGTGCCAGCGGGAATCGCCCGCCTCGGCTTAATGGAGAAAAAAGGCCTCGCTTATGTCTCTGTGTGTGTGTGTACATAGATATATGTGTGTGTGCATAGAACTGTATTTATAGATCTTTACGTATGTATAGATAGATATAAATGTGTATATATATGTTATAGATAGATATAAATGTGTATATATATACATATATATATACATATATAATGTGTATCTATATATATATAAACAGAGAGAAGTGTATATTTAGAGATAGATGTGTATATATATCTATAGATAGATACAGATATATATGTGTATATATATGTATATATAGAGAAATGCGTATAAATGTATGTATATAAGTATGTGTAATATGTATGTATAATATGTATATATAATAAATACATATATGTAATATATACATATATAATATATACATATATATACACACATATATGTGTATATGTATATTATATACATAATATGTACGTATACATATTATGTGTATATGTATATTTTATACATAATATGTATATATACATAATATGTATATTATACATATGTACATATATACATATATGTACATATATACATATATACATATATGTACATATACATTATATATATGTATATATAATAAATACATATACATAATATATAATACATATATGTATATATAATAAATACATATATATGTATATGTATTTATATGTAATATACTTAATATATTTATGTATTTATATGTAATATACAAATATATATAATATACATCATATGTATATATGCATATATATGTATGTCTACATATATAGTATATATACTTATATACGTGTATATAAAATATTTATGTATATGTGTATAATATATTTATAATATAATATGTAATATATATAAGTATATATGTGTATAGAAGTATATATGTATACATATGTTTGTATGTATAGAACTGTACTTATATATATATATACATATATGTGTATATATAGGTGTACATATATACATCTAGGTTTATATATAGATATGGATATGTATATACATATATAGATGTATAGTTGTGTGTATATAGATATATCTATAAATATACACTGGGTTATTTACGTGTGATACACATTCCAAGATGTATGTGTGGATGTACTCTCTGTGCTGTGGTGAAGATGACTCTTTGCATGTGTTTCTTAGAGATGTGCTGTGAGCACTGGGAGCCAGGGGCATTGCAGTCATCCAGTCTGAGGGACCTGTGGTGAGTTGGAAATCTGGACCAGCTTGGACTCTCTGTGGAACTCCGTGTATGGGCTGTCTGCACCCTCTGGAGCTTCCATCTCTCCCACGGTGGCACCTGGCACCTCTGGATAAGGCTGTTGTTCAGGTACTGTTAAAAAATGTCCCAAGTGCAGCAAGATGAAAACCCCTAACCTGGAAAAAGCAGGAGCAGTCAGTACTGAAGCTGAGTCCCTTCTGGAACAAAGGCCATTTAAATGTGATCAAACCTGTAGGACTCTGGGCAGAACAGTCCATTACATCTCACGATGTCCTGCACCTTCAGGACTTGGCATTCATGTCACTGTCCCCTTCATGGCTGATGCCAAAAGAGAAAGTGTTTCCCCGTGGAGCTGAATGTCATTGTGGAGTGTGATTTCACCCCACATCACAATCTAGACTTCCAATGGTCTAGAAACGCGTGAAGGATTTTTCAAGTGCTGGAGTTGCCTCTGCTCTGGCTCTGGCTCTCAGCTTGTAGCATGGGAAGATGGACAGATGTTTTTTATGAGCAGTGACCTCAAAGTTGTTCCCAGGCAGGACAGCTCTGCCTGCACGGGCCAGCCTGTCTTGGCCTGTTCATCATACCTGAATTGCTGTTTTGGTTAAAAAAGAGTATAATGTTATATATCAAGTCAACAGAGATATTGTCAGGGTAGGATTACTGCAGGGAAAGCATGTAAAAGATTACTGGAATACTAAGTGTTGTTACCTCAAATGCAGATTATAACAATTGAAAAAGACCCCATAAATCTATTTTTTGTGTATAAAACTTGCAGATCCTTATAAAAAGAACTTAGGCCGTGAAAATCCAGCACAAGCTGAAACATATAGCAAGAGATTCAAAACCTGCTGGGACTTACAAGGTAAAAAATTCGTAGTTAGGAGAGTTATTTAAAAGAATATTGTGATGACCTGGTTGTATTTTTTCATCGAAGACGTTTATACATTTGCTTTTTTCCTCCCTCTCAGTTTTACAAACCAGGTTTCTGCAGAAGAGGAAGAAGGGGTTTCATTCCCAAGAGCGGATGTTGGGTGGCGTGTCACAGCAGGAGCCACCCTGTTAGATGTCCTCAAGGTCTTTCCCAGGACATGCCAGCTGGACACTGCCCTGTCCTGCCCAAGGGGACCTGACTAGTTCCTGCCCTGCCTGGAGCCCCGTGTCCCTGTGCTGCCACAACTTCCACGTTGTTCCTGTGCAAGCGGGCTGAGGAACAGCCGGGAGCCGGAGGGGCTCTGCCGCAGAAGGAGGTGCTTGGTGCCAGCCATGTGCCCAGCTGGGTGGCACCCCCAGCCCCCCGACGCCGTGGGCCTGTCTCAGTAGCCCCCCCGGGCTCTGCTGCCCCGCGCCGTTGATGTTGAGCGTGTTGTGTTTCAGGGTGCTGAGGAAGATGCAGAGGCGGCACAGCAGCAACACGGACAACGCGCCTCCGGAAAGGTACACCTGCCTCCCTCCTCCCCGCTCCTCCCCAGGGGGGAATGGCCTGATTTAAATGTAGGGGGGGGTTGAGAAGATGGAAGCTCAAAACTGAGTTTCCTCAGTCCTCATCCCTGTGGATGTGGTGTGGCCAGGCTTTCTGCTCGGGTTCGGGAAGTTTGGACACAGATTTACTTTTCCCCCTCGTGTCAGCATTGACTGCTGCCCACCACAGTGTTCCAGGATGATCCAGTGTGGCACATGAGGAGCTGGCTTGGCACAGGCAGGACGTTTTGGAGCGCTAATATTGCTGTTTTGGTTAAAAAAGAGCATAATATTATGTATTAACTCAAAAGAGATGCTGTCAGGTTAGGATTAAGTAACATTTACTGCAGGGAAAGCATAGAAGATTCCTGGAATACTAAGTGTTGTTACTTCAAATGCAGATTACAGCATTTGGAAAAAAAACCATAATATCTATTTTTTTTCCTGTATAAAACTTACAGATCCTTGTAAAAAGAATTTAAGCCCTGAATGATTTGTTGCACAGTCTTATGGGGATCTTGAGTGCAATCAATCTGCAAGGATCAACCTGTATGAACAGAAACTATACTTCTGTTATTAAAGTGTGTAAAAAGTCTGCTGGGCTGAAGCTTTCAACGACTTAGTGTTTTATAAAGAGTTTGAGTGATCCTTTACATCCTCCCAGAGTCTGTATCCAGCTCTATGTATGTGAGTATTTAGATGCAGAATACCTCTAATTCACTTCTGCAATTATACCATCAGCAAGGGAGCCTTGCCACTGTTGTTGTTCTGGTGCTAAGTATTCCCTAGGGCTTTCCCAGAGCTACAGCTTGACTTTGGTTTTTTTTTTTTTCCTAAAGAAGAAACTAATCTAATTAAGACAAAGATGGAACTAACAAATTTAGTTGCTCTGGCTGAGCTGAGGTTATAAGTGAAAGATCATCGGGTTTGCAAGTAGAGTTGCACTTTGATGCCCTGACCCCTGCTAGCATGGTACTGTTCCTAATTTCGGGGAAAAGAAAGCCACCTCCACCTTTTTTTCTGCATGATGCTGCCCAAGCCTCAGTGCAGAAAAAAAAAGTGTGGGTTTTGTATCAGCAGCCAAGGCTGGGGCTTGAGAGGCGCAGAAGGTGCTGAATGGGCCTTCTTGTCTTCTGTGCAGAGCTCTCTGAGTCTGTACAAACCTGTAAGACACTTCAGTTAAAATATATTCAGGGTCTGTGTCTGTTATTGAGTGCAAAAGATAAGCAGAGTAATGTCAGTTGGCTTTTATAAATCCTTCTGGTTTTTAACAGGTTAGGTACCTATTATCAGAGAGGCTGAAGGTTTCTAAATGTAGAATGAAATGCTGTTGCCACTGGTATTCCCTTCTGGTTAACTTCAGCAGCCTCACAATTTCATCCTTGTTTGTTTTTAAATGTGTCCCAGATTAATTCCTTCCTGCTGAAAGCACAGTCCTGTATCCTGGTAGTATTATTCCAAACAATAGTTGTGTCTTTATTTGTAACACTGGGTTCCACCCAGGCTGTTTGTTAGTGTTCCCAGACCCAAGGACTGTCACATTCTGTCCCCGTGTTGTGTGTACATCCCTGAGTTGTAATCACTACTTCTAAAGTTAGAGACCTCCAGGGGTTAAAATCAAGAGAGACCAAAGCCCTGCAACTTGCCTTATTTGTGAGCTTTGCCTCTTGCTGAGCTTATTTATTCTTTACTCTCCTTCTGCAATTTAGAGAGGTATTTGCTGTCTGCCAGGCATTTACTGCCTAATGATCATTCTACTTGTTACCTGGATTGTTCCCTGCCATCTAAACTTGCTTTGTATTCATCTGAATTCCACAGGATTGACTTCAGGTGAAGAAAGCCTCTAGGTGTTAAGAGGAAGGTATTTAGACTTTGTGGAATCTGGAAAGGATCAGTGCCAGAACTAATTCTCTGCAGGTCCCGGTAATTTGGGTACATCCATGTCTAATTTGCCAGGAATATCAAAACAGAAGAATTTCTCTTGACCCACGAGCAGAACCTTTATTAGTTCAGGGACACACAAGCTGCTCTTCCCCAGTTGATTGTGTCTCTTGTTGGTGCAGTTCATCGTTGGGCAGGCAGTGATCAACCCTAAATAAAGACAGAAGGTTTTGGGGGTAGGTCATTGCTTTGAGTTAGCTTGGTTCATTTGTTTCTATGTAATATGACCTGTCTTATTGTGTCAGGTTCCACAGGGTTTTATATGTTTTTCTTTAAATACTAAAGTCAGTGTAGATGATGTTGAGTTTGGTATTGGATGTGTAACTTCTTTGGTTCCTCCAAAAGTCCAAGGAGTGTTTGGGAAGTTTGTTCTTTAAATATTAAAATCAGTGTAGATGATGTTGAATTTGATATTGCATGTGTAACTTCTTTGGTTCCTCCAAAAGTGAAGGGGGTGTTTGGGAATTTTGTTCTCTAGATGAAGGAAGTGGTGCCTGTTGGTCTGGTCTTTAGAGTTCTCTGATCTTGTGAGTTTGGTTACTGGCCTCTAGTTCTGCAACTGTGACTTTCCAACAGCACATAGAGGGAAAACCATCTGTCATCTGGAGACCTACATGTTCTCAAAGTGTGTGAGAGTGGCAGTTTGGACTTGGCCCTCTGCCAAGTACCCAACACCACAGCAAAAGCTCTCCCCCCCCTTTTGTCTATGAACACATGGGAAGCAAAGGGAAGGGAAAAAAACCCAAAAGAACCGAAATAACAGAACTAAAGCAATATATATATATATATGTATTTACACATATATACAATTACAGAACTATATACACATAAGGAAGAAACCCCTTACGCCCCCCGAAAAACAGATATATGCAACCAATAACGAACTGTCAAACCAAAATCTTAATACTTTCCTTAAGAAAACAAAAGCCACTCCACCAAATCTCTCCTCTCGAATCGGAAAACCCACAGGCCTCACAGGCCTCGCTCCCACATGAGACCAACTGCAGGGAGCCTGCTGTCTCCAACTTCACCAGAAGAGACCTGGCCAACTAACTCCCTCCAACTTCTATTTATATTCCTACTTACGTAAAGAACAGCATGGAATATTGGGATATAGGTACTCTCTTGGTTTTGACCTGGTGTGGTAGTTTAGTCTGGGCCTTCCTTGGTGACCAGTTTGTAGCCAAGGAAGTGCCCAGATTTACCCAGTATTCCCTACAATTTTTACATAACCCGGGGTATAAGAAGAAAGGAGGAGAGGCCTTCGCCCCCTCTTTCCTTCCAGCAACTTGGAGGTGCAGGTTCCCTGCTGTTGAGTCTGTCGGGTTGGGGAGTGAGGCCTGGTAAGGCCTTGCCAACCTTGGGAGACGGAGGTTGTCTTTCTGTTGTCCCAAGGAGAGTAGTAAGATATTCTTTTGCTAATTCTTTTAGTTGCTAGATCTTGGGCTATCGATCGTGTATCTTTTATTTTGGTTTTGTTCTTTTTTTCCCTTTCCCCTTCCCTTTCCCTTTTGAAATTGTACATGTATTTCAATTGTATATAACTGTAATATAAGTGTAAATATATTTATATATTTTGCTTTAGCTGCCTCTCTCGTTTTGGTTCTCTTGTTTTTTTTTTTTCTCTCCTCCCTTGGGTTTTGGGGGGGGGTTGGAATTCTTGTGGTGAAGTTTGGAGACATGGCAGGGAGCCAGCTTCAAACCACAACACCTGGTTGCCAGGAAAAGGCCTAGACCAAACCCTTGCAGTGAGGAACACTGAACCACTACAAAAGACCGCGAAGTTCCGCGTCACTCAGTTTTTTAATCGCTTCGCTGTCGTCCCTCCGCAGGAACCGGAGCCAGACGGTGAGTTCCGAGACCAGCGTGGATGAGAGCGGAGTGTTCGAAAGCCTCAAGGCCGAGGCCTCCTCCCCTCAGCAGCTCTTCTCGGGGCTGGCCGGGATCCCCTCGGGCACCATCACGGCCGCGCCCTTCCAGTCGGGGCTGGTGCTGGGCTCCTCGGCGGGAGGCGGCGAGGTCTTCATCCAGATGCCGGCCCCGCGGGAGGAGGGGGCCGGCCGCGCCGAGGGAGCCCCGTTCCACCACCACCGCCAGCCCTCCCACCACTTCCACCACGGCCACCACCGCGGCTCCTCCCTGCTGCACATGGCGGGGGGCGACCGGCACGGCCACGCCGAGGAGGGCCCGGACGAGCAGGGGGGCACCCCGGCCCCGGCCCTCTCAGAGCTGAAGGCCGTCGTCGGGTGGCTGCAGAAGGGGCTTCCCTTCATCTTGATCCTCCTGGCTAAAGTTTGCTTCCAGCACAAGCTTGGTAAGCACCCCCATCCTTTCTGAACCCTATTATGAAGCTTTGTCAGGCTGTGGTGTCACATACTCTTATCCATAGAATCAGAGAACCACAGAATCAGCTGGGTTGGAAGGGACCTCAGAGATCAGCAAGTCCAACCCTTGATCCAACCCCGCCGTGGTTCCCAGCCCATGGCACTGATGCCACATCCAGTCTCATCATAAAAACCTTCAGGGACAGAGAATCCTCCACTTCCCTGGGCAGCCCATTCCAATGGCTGAGCACCCTCTCTGGAAAGAAATTCTTTCTAATGTCTAACCTAAACCTCCCCTGGCTCAGCTCAAGACCGAGCCCTCTTGTCTTGCTGATGGTTGCCTGGGAAAAGAAACCAACCCCCCCCTGGCTCCCCCCTCCTGTCAGGGAGTTGCAGAGAGTGAGGAGGTCTCCCCTGAGCCTCCTCTTCTCCAGGCTGAGCCCCCCCAGCTCCCTCAGCCTCTCCTCATGGGAATTGTGCTCCAGTCCCTTCCCCAGCCTTGTTGCTCTTCTCTGGACCTGCTCCAGCACCTCAATGTCCTTCCTGAGCTGAGGGGCCCATGTGACAGTGTGTGGTAGTTTGGACTTGGCTCCCCTGCCAAGTGCTCAAGACCACAGCAAAGGTCTTCCCCCCCACCACCCTTTTTATGAAGGCAGGGGAAGGAAAGGGAAGAAAAAAACTACCAAAAAAACCCCGAAATAACAGAACCAAAGCAGTATATATATATTTTACACTTCTATACAGTTACAAAAACTATATGCATATAAGAAAGAGAACTCCCAACACCCAAAAAAACCCCCAGAAAAACAGGTATACGCAATCAATTAAAGAACTAGCAAACAAAATCTTAGTACTTTCCTTAAGGAAGCAGAGTCCACACCACTGGATCTCTCCTCTCGGATGGGGAAAAAAAACCAACAACCTCTCAAAAAAATCCCCAGGCCTGCACTCCCACACGAGGAGCCCAGCCACAGGGAGGTTACTTTGCTTCCTCCAACTCCTCCTCTCTGAGAAGAGATCTCCCCTCCAAATTCCTCCCCTCTTCTATTTATATTTCTGCTTATGTAAAGAACAGAATGGAATATTGGGATATTGGTACTTCCTTGACCTGGTTGCCTGGAAGAGGCCTAAACCAAACCACTACACAGTGTCCAGGTGTAGCCTGGCACGAAGGGGACACACTCAAATGCACGTGATAAATTCACCCTATTTTCAGTCCCAGCTGTTCTAAAAATATTAAAACCAAAGGGGAAAAGCACTTGGTGCTCGCCTGCAAATTGTACTTAATTACTACTTGCCCTAAGAATTTTTATGGCACCAGTTAAAACTGAACACTGACAAGTCCAGTGAGTGTGGTGCAGAAAAATATTGAAAGCAGGCAGTGAACACATGCAGCTTGTCACTTCTTCAGAGACAGCACTTGTTAACAGAGCTTGGAAGGATGTTCACCAGCTCCCTGCTCTGAAGGCCCTCACCTGAACAGCAGTTGTTACACCCAGCAGGATATCCACAGGTAGTTTAGTACTATGAACATCTTTGCTGTCCTGACCAGTTCTGTTCCTTTTCCTGATCTCCCCTTGACATTCCCGTGAGGGTGAGGATGTTACCAAGGCTTCTCCCTCAGAGCTCTCTCTAGGAGAGGTGGGCAGAGCTTACACTGGTGACTGGCAAAGGCTTCTGTGGAGCACAGAAGGGTTCTGAGGAATGAGACACTTGTCTAGCTGTGGTAGCTGTGAAATCAAGTCAGACAGCATCAGCAGTTGCATCTTGCAGTTGAGATCTTCAGAGTTCCCTGAAGAATATGTCTATGCAGGGTTTTTTTAATGGTGCCTGAGTATTTTAGCACTATAAAATTGTATGTTTGGCATGTCTGTGGATCCTGACTCATTCTGAGATTATCAACACTAGGAAACCAGTAATGCTTCCGTTTTAGTCCACTTACAACTCTGACAGGGATTTGGTTAATTCATATCTGCAATATCTTGGCCTTTGGACCTGCTATCCTGTAGGTTTTTATAGTGTGCCCTGTCCTCCAGGAGCTGCTGAACTGCTGTTGTAATACTGTCACCTGGCACAACGCAGCCACAACTCAGAGCACTTGTGTTCTCCTTCAGGACCTTAGGACAGAGTGTCTGTGCTGGGCTGGGTGCTCACTGCAGTGCTGCATCTTCATTTACACTGAATTTGAAGTACAGAGCCCAGACTGCCCTGGTTTAGTCGCCCGTACATTCAAATTCCCGGCGCATCCAGAGTACCACCCAGTAATGTTTTTTCTGAGCTTGAGATGCTGGTGTCCCTGGCTCAGAACTGGTGTCCCTGGCTCAGGACTGGTGTCCCTGGCTCAGGAGTGCCCCCCTGACAGTGCCTTCCCTGCAGGGATTGCTGTGTGCATTGGCATGGCCAGCACCTTCGCCTACGCCAACTCCACGCTCCGAGAGCAGGTCGCCCTGAAGGTGAGTCCAACATTTTACCTCCCTGTGTTCCCGGGAAACACCACCCTCTGTGCACAAAACAACACCTTCTTTGGCACTGGAGGGCTGAATGCATTTATATGGGCACAGATCTTTCAGAACAAAGAGTTCTGAAAGGCCCTAATCCCACCCTCCTCTTCCTGCTTCTCCACACCGATGCTCTCCCACTGTTTCTACCCTATTTTGTCGTGAGTGTGAAAGTAGTAAACAAAGAGAGGACAGCTCAGGGGTGTTGTAATCTGCATCTCCCCGTGCCACTGGCTGGCAGTGCATCTTCCAGCACTTCTCTGCACCTGGGTTTCCCCATTTCAGCAGCAGTGCTGAAAGCTATTTGACTTATTAATGATGAGATTTAACTTATTAGCATTTAGATCATGTTTTGAGGTGTTTAACTGAAACATTTTGTGGATGTGTTGCTTGTTAGCATCTTTATAATGCTGTTGAGAATGTACAGAAACCAGCAGACCTTTCCAGGCCTTGTGATCTTCAGTGTCAGAACAGTTCAACAGCACTAAAAGCACAAGACTAGAATTCCTTTTTTATTAAAATTGCATGGGTGGCACAAGTGTGTACTGGTATCTACCAACAGCAGTGGAATAAATGTGCTGCAATGCTGAATGAAGAGATAAATTGCACAATCATGTAATAGATGGCTGTTGCCTTGCACTTTGCACTCTCTCCTTCCAGCAGTGTGCCCCTTAATCCCCCTGCTTTAAATCTCAGCCTAACATCCCTGCAGAGACCTATTTCCTTAATAAATCAGCTCACAAGAAAAATGGTGGGTGTTTTTTCCTCCCAGGAGTAAAATTTACTCTTCAAAATTACCCTGGGCCAAGACCCAGGACAAGATCTTCTGCCATCCAGCTTCTGTCTGTAATGTTCCATGTATTTTGAAATGCAGCACTTGCACTTCTTTTTTGACCTTCAGTTACTTCCTCGATCAAAAATGCCTGTTCTGGAACCTCCCTGCATTTGGATAACACTCAGATGTGCTGCAGGTGCTGATGGGTTATATTTGGTTTAGCTGAGCCTTCCTCTCACTCAGAGGATCTGTTTGTAAACCCCCCCTTTGATGAGGTGTCACTCCCACCAGGTGACAGCTCAGAATTTAGGACAATACATGGAACTGACTTTTTTTTAATCTGCTTGTCACACTGAGTTTTAAATACCAGCAGAATTTAGATGTCCCAGGAAAGATCCCGACTTTGAAGATTGCATTCTGCAAGGAAGGCTGTCACCTCCCCCACCATATTTCAATTAATCTTCCTGAAGTTACTTTATTTGAAAGGTTTGCTGGGTGAGAGCCATTTCTGCCTGTGTTTATATGTGTCCTTACCTAGCAGCCTGCTTCTGAGCCTTAGTCCTGTGTCAATAAACTAATTACTGAACACTTAGATACATATTTGTGTCCCCTGGGATGGGCACAACCCACAAGGCTTCCAATTTATCTTCTCTCCTTCTTTCTCTTGCCCAGGAGAAGAGATCAGTGCTGGTTGTGTTCTGGATCCTGGCCTTTCTCACTGGAAACACCTTGTACTTGCTTTACACATTCAGCTCTCAGCAGCTCTACAACAGGTAGGTGGGCAGGACTCAAGTTGTCCGTGCTGGAAGCAGGTGATAATTGCCAGGGAGGAGAAGAATTGCCCACTGTTCCCCACACTTTGGAAGTGTTCATGCCTAAAGCACCTGCTGTCTTGGCTGCATCTCTGTCCTACCTTTCAGTGGAGCAGAAGGATGTGTGTCATTTCTGCAATCAGTGGCATAGCCAGGGTGGAAATGGGGGGTGAGGACACATGACGTGTTTCAGAGCAGGGTGGACCCTTTTTAACAGGGACCTCTGAATTTCCACTTTGACTGCAGGGGCTGAACATACAGAGCAGGTGTCAGAAGCAGGTGAGGCACAGACCCACTGATTTTCCTCTTCCTGTAATGTTTTCTCTTCAATCTGTCAAGCTTTGAGTCCAGGACAGGAGATAAACAGGTGAAATAGTAGTGTTTTACTTCAGTGTCCTCAGGGCTTGGAGGCACTTGGATCTGAGGTAATTAAGACATCCTTGACCTTCAAATTCTCACTAAGCAGTTCTCAAGTACAGAAAAGTTTGTACCAATGGATTTGGTTCAGCACTACCCCTAAAGTCTGTAGGAATTATGACAGACAGGAAGCAAAGATACACAACTTAAGCAAGGAGATGTTAGTAGAATAAATAGGAAGAAATGGAGCAACATCAAACCTAATTATTTAGAAAGTAGTTTTGATATTAGGAGCTAAAACCATATGAATTATCTCCCTCATTAGAATTTTCTTTGTCCCACTGAAGGGGACTTAGAACTTGAGGCTGAAAATACAACGTGCAGCAGTTGGGTTATGGCTACGCAGCTCTTGGGTTTGGTTTCTCTGCCAATTGTTTCATTGCTGCCCTGCTTCTTCCCAACAATGCTGTCTATGGGAAGAGCCAAGGTCTGCCCCTAACCCTGGTATCCTTTGGAATTGCCCCTAGTGGATTTGGATTTGGTCACTGGAAAAACTCTGTATGTAAATGCTTCTGGAAGGGGGGAGAGGTGAGAAGGCTTGAACGTGTGGGTCCAGATGGGAGATGCCAGGCCATGGGATTCCCTGGATATGGCTCGTGGGAGGGAATGGAAGAGAAGCAGGAATGGCAGAAAGGTGTGGAAGCATCGAGAAGGAATTTGCATCCCAGGGAACCTGTGTGTCTGTAAGGTGGTGGTCAGGGTTAAAAACATGGATGGGACTAGTTTAAAATAGAGGGTAGATCACCCAAAATAAAGGGCTTTCAGCAAATTGGGGCCACCCTACACACAGTTTAGGGCAGGGCTTATTACCAATGGACAGGCTGGGCCACATTTCCATGGAGGATCCCTGTTCCTGGGAGTGCTGCTGTGTCATGCTTGGGCTGGTGCATCTGTTGCCTGTTGTGTGGGGACCTGGGACTATTCACAGGGCAGGCTTGTCAAATTAGAAGTAGCTGCTTCGTGTTTGTTTCTTTCTGGCTTATTTTTCATTTCCTGATTTATTTTTTCCTAGTGTTTTTATTTATTTATTTATTATTTCTAGTGCACGAATAGTAGTAAAGCCTCTGATTCTGTTTCTGTTTTTAGGGTGTAATTTTACCTGTTGTGCTGTGCCAGTGTTGTGAGTATTTTAAATTCATGTTCAGGCCTTTCATTTCGGGTTGGTTATTTTACTTTTGCTTTATTTTTTTTGTTGTTTTTTTGGGTGTTTTTTTTTTGGTTAAGTGTTTGCTTTCTACCACGAGGCTTTAGCAGCTAAACACCCTGAAGACAAATTCTGGTTTTTCAGCCTCAGTAGGGTCCAGTCCTCATTGCTGCTCAGGTCAGTGGCTCCTGCCCATTGCTGTGTGGAATTCTGCTGTCCCAGACTCCACTTTTTTCAAAGAGCAAACGTTGAGCAGGACTTCCCAGGGTAAGGTTGTGCATTCAGATCACAGAATCAGACAGAGCTGAAGGCACTGCCTGCACACCAAAGGCTCTGGTGCAGCGTGGAGGGCAGGCTGTGGAGATTGCAGCCTTCCAAAACAGGTTTGGGTCCTGTTTGGTGGTAGTGGGCAAACCTGGTGACCTCAGGAGAACAAGAGCAAAGCCAAGAGAGGAAGCAGGGCACTGATTTGCATGTCTGACTCCTCTTGCCCTTGGCAATTCCCCTGGGGCTCAGGGGAGTTTCTGGGCTCTCTCTCTCTAGCCAGCAGTGGACACAAGAAGCTTGAGTGAGGTTCTCACTGGTGTTTTGGTGTCTTTCAGCCTGATCTTTCTGAAGCCCAACCTGGAGAGGCTGGACTTCTTCGACCTGATGTGGATCGTGGGCATCGCAGACTTCGTGCTCAAGTACCTCACCATCGCCCTCAAATGCCTCGTGGTGGCCCTGCCCAAGATCATCCTGGCTGTCAAGTCCAAGGTAGGAGACTCCTCTAGATGTACAAGTATTTATCTTTGATAATCTGATACTTTTAGAACACGTTTGCAGCGTGAAATCCCAGAATCCCAGAATGGTTTGGGTGGGAAGGGACCTTAAAGCCCATCCCTTCCCACCCCCTGCCATGGGCAGGGACACCTCCCACTAGCCCAGGTTGCTCCAAGCCCCCTCCAACCTGGCCTTGGACACTTCCAGGGATCCAGGGGCAGCCACAGCTTCTCTGGGAAACCTGTGCCAGGGCCAAATATGAATGGAAGAATAAAAATAATGAAATCTCTTCATAAAACTTTGGCACTTGGGTATCAAGGTTTGGGGTTTGAGCCATCAGCCCTGAGCAAGGGTTTGGTAGCACCAGCAAGTGATGGAAGTCCAGAGATGAGGAATTCATTGCTGGAGGAGGAATAGACACTAGCAGTGAGGTAACAGCTTGTCTGGTTGAATTCCTTGTTTTCTGAGCAACCTCTGTAAATACATATTTCTGAAGCACAAATCTCTTCACTTCATGGGAAGAAACTGCAAGTACTTGTGTCTTTGGCTTTCCACTTGGGCCAAAGCAGTAACAGGATTCAATTGAAGCTCCTGGTGCCAAAAAAGACACCACCCCTTCTACATAACCACAGGTGAAGAAATATTTTAATGTTTAAGGTATTTAAATTATTACGAAGTTATTCGTAGACTAGGCCTAACTTTGGAAACCTCCTCACTACATTCTCTCCCTGAAAATACCTTTTCATGTGTTTTCACCTGCACAGATCTGTCATGCTGCCTCTTTATCCACTTGGTAGCCTCTGCATTCCAGTGGCAAACACAGAGATGTGTATTATTTGCCTTCAGTAAAGGAACTTTCTGGCAGCTGTTGGGATGAAAGGCACTGTATAGATGCAAGATACCATCATTAATCCCTGAAAAGTCTCAGGCAGGGCACTTAGGAGGATATCTAAACTGGGAATAGTTTTGCTTGGAAATGACAGGGGTGGCAGGGGAGTTGAGCAGTTTGTTCCTGCACAGCAGGGCTATTTGAGATGGTTATTAATTTATTTCTGGCAATTGTCCAACTTTTTTTTTTCCCCTCCTTCTTCTATTATTATTATTATATTTTAGGAGATTAATGTGCTGGGTCAGAGCATAATCCAGCCTGGGGAGGGAGGGAAAAGTGATGTGAATAACCTCCCCAAGATAAATTGCAGCGTTGGAAAAGGTTCACAGCCTTTGCTTGCCTGTCTGAGAGCTCTCCCAAGCACTCATTAATCCTTGTCTGGAGAGAAGAAAGGGAAGGGGTCTTTATTTGCAGCTACAGGGGGAGGCTGGTAAGATCACATCTGTCAGGGGCCTGTAATGACTCAGAGCACAGATGCTTCGTTTTTAATACCTTTTTCTGGAGAGCAACACTTCTCACTTTTTTCAAGCCCCTGTTTTGTCCAAGGATGTTGTTGACGGGCTCGGTGTCCCCTGACAAGTCAGACTGCTGCTCCCTGCCACCACAGAGCTGGATTTGTCTCCCCCACTCTGCACTGCCACCCAGGGATGAGATCTCAGGGGACAGATCTCAGCTCCTTCTGAGTTAGAACAGTTCTATTGCAACTTAGGCACGTTAACTTTGACCAAAATATTTATTATTTGCTGTCTTAACACTTGCCAGGTACAAAGTTATGCTCTGCTTCCCCAGGTGCTCCTACCAGAGCTTCTGCTTTAAGCCCAGATGGGAGTTTATGAGCTGGTGGGTGGCTGTCACTTAATGGTATCGTGCTGCTGGAGAAAGATAAATTAAACTGGAGGAAAGGTAGATTTTTTTTCAAGATATACATATATATAGTGAGAATTTTTGTGCCAATATAACCAGTCAGAACAGCTCCCCTAATGCAGGGCCTGAAGGGGAAGCTGCTGCCCTCTCAGGGGTGGAGTTCAGCCCAGCTGGGAGTGGGACACAGGGATTTCATCCTGAGCTTCCTTGCAGGCCTGGCAGTCAGCAATAACCACAGAGCTTGTCCAGGGATGGCATTTGAGGAACTTTGATCACTGTGCTCTCAACCTCTGAGCAGGCTCTTCGGATTTTTCCTGGTTTTGGAAGTTCCAAGGCACCTCCAAAGCCAGGCTGGCTTTTTGTGCTGCTCCTTGAGGTTCTGGTGTTCTCTGGGTGCTCTGTGCTCTTCACTGCTGCTTGCAAGGCACTTCCTCGAATATCCTCCTTTAAGTGTCTTACCTCTCCATGTCCATTGGGATTGGAGCAAGATCAGGTTCTTTTCTTTCTGTTCCAGTCTTCCTTCCTCCCCTCAGTCTTCTCTGGAGACTGAACACCACCAATTTTTTGAGTCTTTTCTCAAAGATTTTTAATTCCGGATCTTATTATTCTCTTCTGGACTGTCTTCATCCCTCCCTGTTTTCCAGAGCATTTCTCCAGCCTGTCAGAATGAGTTTGGATTATAATCCTTCCTTCTATTGCATTTACAGCCTTTCCCAGTTGAGTGTCAGCTGTAGATTTAATAAACCCACTCTGTTCCATCGAGATCATTGATGAAAACAGTGAATAGCACTAAACTCTGCTTCCCTCAGATGCATTTTGACAGTGAACACATAAAAAATTTGGGCTGGAGCACTCAGTTCTGCCCCCCTAAAGTGCCTGGGTCGTGTATTCCTAGCATGGCAACTTTTGGTGTAGGATAACATTTGCATTTACAGCATTTGTGCTTTAAATGAGAGAAAGCAAACTAAAATTGAAAGGCAGAAAAATAAGGTTGTCTTTGCAATCAGAACACAGAGGGCAAGAAACATTCCCAGGAGTGCTTGAAGTGTGAAGCCTGAGAACTGATCTATTATGTATTATATTTAGGGTACAACTAGCCAGAGTTCTCCAAGCTTGAATAACTCAGAATGGAATATCTCTGCCACAAACTCCTCCAGAGAATGAGGGAAGACTGAAAAACTTGACAAAATAATCCCAGGCCTTGCCAGGCTCCAAACCAGCCTGGAAAACAGAGGTGCCAAGAGAGGCTGTGAGGGTGCAGTCAGGCTGGAAAGCAGGGAAGGAAGGGCTGGTGAATGGGAGAGAAAGTCAGGAAAAAGGACAGATCTCACACCTCTGGGTCAGTGGAGTTGGCAGAAGGATCAAACCTGTGGCTAAAGGTGTCCCCTCCTCCCCCACGAGCTGCTGGGCACGTTAAGCCAAGTTCAAGTTCTAATTTCAGCTGGGCTCATCATTTCTTTGGGAGGGGGGGGGTTTGTTTGGCTCCCACCCTGCTCTCCATTAAAAAAAAAAAAAAAAGGCAAATAAGATCATTTGGTTCAATATAAAATGAATTAAAGTAAATTAAACTGCAGGAGCCATGTGGCCTTGCAGAGGCTTCCATTGTTGTACACCCCTGGATGGCAGCTTTTCATTTGCACTGCTGAGGAATGACAGCTTGAGGGGGGTGGAATTAAAAATAAGGAAATAAATAATAAAAAGGCACACTTGCCAAAGATTTCACTTAGGAAATCCCAGGTGCCTGCAAGTCTCCCATCCCCTCCTCATGCTCCTGGCAGCAATCTGAGCTGGTTATCCTGGAGGATGGAGTGAGACAAAAGAACTGTAAGGAACTGGGATCCCAGGGTTTTTTATATATGTATCCTTATCCCTAGAGGGGAGAAGGACATTTTTCCAATCATCTTAATGGGCTGGTAGATAAGAAAGACCCTAAGTTGGAATTTTCCTTCCGTGCTCAGTACAGATGTGCAGCCCAGTTCCAGGGAGCTGCATTTCCAGGAGGCTGGAAATTCAGAAGGAAAACACTTTAACACTGGCTTGTTGCAAACACAGCATGAAATAAATGACTATTGGTTAAATACTTGTCAGATTGACTTGAAAGCTGGATCCAGACACTGCAAATGCCATTAATCCCATGAATTTGTCTTTATGCTGCTGAAATGCTGTCAGTGGCAAGTGTACAAACACTGCTCCACCCTTGCACTGGGGACCCCTCACTGCAGCTTTGAAAATATTTGCTTGGTGCCTTTTTTTTTTTTTTCCCAGTTGACTGTTTTATTAGTGCTTTTTATTTTTAAAGTACCATCTCATCAAGGCTGGTCAGAGAAAACTCGGCCTGTGTGTTGCTGCAGTTCTTTACCCAGTTCTGCACTTGGATTTTAGACCAAATATGATGAAAACAGTGAGTAGCACCAAACTTCAGGTGCATTCCGTGTTCCCTGACATTTCCTGGCATGGGTGGTTACAGCTCTGCCATGTAAATGGGCACATCAAGCTTCCCATGCTCCTTCTGAAGCTGCACCTTTTTTTTGTTGTCCTGAGGAAATAAAGGTCCCTTGGAGCATTTGAGTCCTCTGGATGCTGATCCAAAAATCCACAAGTGTTAAAAAAGCACTGGGAGCTGGCAGATAGATGAGTTTTAGGAAAAATACCCAGGTGAAGATGTTCCTCATCTGTGCTCTCTTCTGCTGTGGGATATGCAGGTTAATCCTGGTCTTCCCTAAATTTAACATGGTTAAAGTGGTGTTTCCAGGCAGGATAGCCCATCCTCTAATTACCTTCTGACCTTGGATACTCTTTGGAGGAACTCTGGGACAGATTCACAAGTCTTGGACAACAGTCTGAGCTTTGATCCTCTGGAGCCACAGAACCAGGTGATGTCCTGCAAAGACTTTTCTCTGCTTCAGCCTGGACAGATGAGGTGTCCCAGCATCACAAGCATGGGATTTATTATTTTTCAAAAGAAAAAGCATAACTAAAGCATCAGAGCCAGGTCCTGAGGAGTGGGGGCTCTTCTGTCCCCCTCCCTGACACGCTTTGCAAGCCACTGCTGCTGAACTTTAAAAGAATCATTACTCCCAGGGGCTTTCCCACTTGAACTTCCCAATTTAAGATGTCCCAATATGAGACTTTCAGAAGTGAAATTCTCATTTTTTTCCCCTCTAATCCCACCTGGAAATTCCTCCTCATTAGTCCTGCCTGGATTTTCAGCAGCACAATGTGCCACAATCCTGTTTCCTGCTCCCACTTCCCTGCCCTGGCAGTGTGACCTGCAGTCCCAGCAGAGATCTCTCCTCATCCAAATTGCCACAGCAGGTCCCCAAAGTTTTTTTTCCCAGCATCTCCCTGTGTCAGAATAAGCCCTAATGCTGCTGGCAACAGAACAAGTGAGACTTGGAGCTTCCCTTGAGTGCTAATCACGACTTACAGTTGCCTCATTGCAACTTCTCTCACTTCTCCTGCATCCCATTTTAATTCCACCGTGTCAGACCTTACCCTGCCTCCCCGTTCCCTCCTGGGGAGGCACAGGCACTTATGCAAAGCCTGGTGTCAAAAGAAACCACAAAATCAAGGCTCACTTGGGCTCTGGGGGAATTAGCATTGCCTCTGCAGCTGCAAATTTTCCCCCCTTTGCTCTGTATATATTGGGATTCAGTTTTTAATGACACTATTCCATGTCATGTCACTGTAAGACTCCTTCCCTCCATCACCAGTGCCCCAAGGATGAAGGTGAGATATTGAAAGGAGCTGTTGTAGCAACTGGAAAGCTCACAGAAAACAAAGACCACTGGAAGAGGAACATTCTACAGGTTCAGGTTTCTGCACTGGAGAATTGAATTCTGTCCTTTACTTCGCCAAATAATTCCTGTGCGATTCTAGAAAAGTCATGTACAGCTGCAGACTGGAGTCAGGGGTTCAGCTTTTAATGGTAATGTGATCTATAAAATGAAGTGCTTTATAAAAAGTCTAATCCCAGGCATCTCAGCTTGGACACCAAACCAGCCTTACCTTGACCTCCACCTTTCTGTGCCTCGAGTTTTCATTTAGGAAAGGCAGGGAACAGCTGTCCCTTGGGTCAGCCCTGTGAAAAGAAGGGGGTTTGAAGAGTGGTTTTGTAGTGGTGATGTCATAAAGGGACTGAAGAAATGTTAGAAATTTGCTGCTCTGAGCAGGAGGAAGGGATCAGATGCAGGTCTGCCATCAAGTGATGAGGATTTAACAAAATCCTAGGAAGCTGCGTGCTTAATGTGCAAAAGGGTTTACCCCTTACAGACCGAAACACTGCAGGGACAGGAGGAAAAGTGCAACTGGGTGAAAATCCTGAACTCTCCTCTTTCAAAAGAAGTGCTTCATTTGAAGCATAAAAATGGCCTTTCTGTGGTGAAGGAGGTGCAGGAAAATGGAGGGTTATACACGAGTCATTGACTGGGTTTTTAACAAAGCTCTGGAAAAAGGGAATCGGAATTCCCCGGTGTGGGAGCTGCTAAAATCAGATCCCCAGCACAGCCCTTCCCCTCATGTGCTAATGAGCTCTTTGATGGTGGCCTGGCAGGGTCAGCAGTGTCCTTCTCACTTCTGGCTCAGGCAAGGGTTTGATGAGAGCAGAGCCCCTTTCCTGGCCCTTGTAGGGGACATAATTGCAGGTAATACCCCACTTAATCTCTGCAGTTCAGGTTGGCTCCTGCACAGTCCAGTCAAGCATTGGCACTGACTCACAGGCTCACCAAAAATAGATTTTGCTGCTCTTCAGCTCCATACAGTCGTGCATTCCACAGAAGATTCCCAGATTTACACTGATCTTTACAAAATGTGAACTCACCTAACAGAGACAGGCCTTGCCTTATTTCCAGCTGTTGTTCCAAGTCAGATGCAGGTGAAAAATAGTTGTATTTGTGCTTGATATAATCTTGATGAGGACAAAAAAAAAAAGCTGAAATACTTGAGTTTTTCAGACAAAATAGAGCTGGAGACAAAGATTTATCTTTGAAAACTGTAACCTAGGCTGAGGAGTGGCAGAGAGGTGTGTAGGGTGTCCTTACCAGTGGTGGGTGCTGCCTGCAGCAAGTTACTGCCATCACAAATCTACATTTTGCTGCTAAAATTGTAGGGAACAGCCCTTGTTTTCCAAGCTTCTGGCTCAGAAGGGAGACCCCCCTTCTGCTGCAGCCCTTTGTAAAGTTACTTTTGATTTTCTGGCACTTTTCCTAATTTTAAATAAGTGGTGCACTAAGGACTGAGGTGCCTGACAAGACTTAAAAAGCTCTGTAAGCACTTTCTAGTTCTCTCCTAAGTGTTGCTTCCTCCTGGATTCACTCTAAACTTATCAACCTTCAGTGGTCAGGTGGGTGCTGTTAACAGGCTGCATGGAGGGGAGGCATCCTTTGATCTGAACTTCACTCTTGTGGGGGCTGTGAACGAGTTTCTAGCCGCTGAGAAATCCTGGTACCCTGCAGTTCCCACTGAAAACCGGGGATGTGCAACAGATGAAGGAGCTCTGAGAGCTTTGGGAAGGGTGGAGATGTCGTGGTCGGACAACTGAAGTTGCACGTTCCTTTTAGAGCCACGTTCTTCCCCTTCCAACCCCACAGCCTGTCTGTCCCCCGGGGCTGCCCCTGCCCCACCTTTCCTTACATCTTGCCGCGGGCTCTGGCGTTTCAGTGCCTGAAAACTTGTGTTGTGAGCAGGATTTCAGCTCTGGCGCCTCAAATTCTGGGCGCAGCGGCTCCATCTGATGCAACTGGAGAGCAAGAAGTGACCTGTCCCATCCTGGCTCCTGGCGAGGCAAGGATCCAGGAGAGATGAGGGGTGGGGGCCGGTGGGAGGGACGAGTCAGGGAAAACAAAACAGTTTGCTGCCTTTCTCTTGCCGGGGCTTTCATCAGAGGGGAGGCAGTGACAGCACAGTGACCCTCTGCCCAAAATAAACGATGATTGCATCGAAGCACGAGGCTGCAGAGAGAGATTGAGAGAGAGAGAGAGAGAGAGAGAGAGAGAGAGACCTCGGCGCTAATTTAATAAATTGCTGGCGTTTAGGATCGCTGCCGGTAGGTTTTGTGCTCCGTGATGCCACCTGGGATTCAGGGGGAGGAGGGGAGAGGCAGAGAGGCGAGAAAGCTGCCCGGGTCCGTTAGCAACCGCTGGTGTGAGCTCACCCCGCGTCCCGGGGGGGTATGAGCTCATGAGCGTGCCAGAGCTCTCCGAAGGATTCGATTTGTTGGGAGCAGCAGGATGGCCTGCGAGTGATCTCATCGGCAGCCCCCGGGGAAGGGCGCTGGCTGCTGCCGAGCCGGCTGCCAGCGCTTCATCCCCAGCCAAACCTCCCCAATTAGCGATTGGCCTGCGGTGACATCACTGATGACACAGCGAGCCGGGACAGCGCAGCAAAATTCCAGGGGAATTTCCCCCTTCTCCGGGATCTTATCGCATGAAAGGGGTTTTTGACGTGACTAAACCCAAACCTTTCAGCCCGGATAAGGTCAGTGGAGATTAAAGGATCGCTCTGGGCTCGGCTTGCCCTGACCCAGTGCCCTGCCACTGGAGTGGGACAGAACATAAATAAACAGGTTCCTCATTAGGACTGGCCCTAAATTAGATCCCCCTTGTTCAGCCAGCTTCCTGCTCGTCGGGAAGAAATAAAAATAGAATTATTAAAATAGATCTAAAATATATATTTTATATGTCATATTTTATATATAATATTAAAATAGAAGTGATGTGGTAAGGAAAAAAAGGCACTTCACAGTTGCACCTCGTGGTTGCAGCGAGCCAGGAGGGAGCGTGTGTCACCCTGCAGGTGCCCCTCAAGGAGGGAAAGCTTTCTGTGCCCAATAAACACCGGGATGGCAGGGACAGCTTTGCTGAAGGTTTTTACACAGGATGTTGCCCATTCTCTGAGTCTCTTTTGAGAGAGAAGTGTTTGAACCATCGTGCTTCCCCCCTCCCCCCCCTTCTTCCTTAAGGTCCTCAGGAAGTATTTTGAATTTCAATGCCCTGAGGGTTTGTTTTTCAGCACCAGTCTTTTTATCTTTGCTCTGTACAAGAGCCAACAAGCACCTGAGTGAAAGGGCAAGGATAAGGATGCTGGCAAAGGGATAATTGGTTTGAACTGGAAAGTTGTCAGGAAGTCTGATGTCACCTTACATTTAATCCCTGTACCTTCAGAAAGGTATAAAATCAAAGAGGCTTCCCTTGCTTTCCTTTTCTCATAATTAATAGCATCCACCATTTATGTCCTATTAATCCTGTAAGTCTTAACTCTGCTGCAGCATTAAGATGTGTGTCCATAACCTGCTCAGGAATGTAAAATTCCAAAATGTAGAACAAGGGGCAGAGCAGGAGGAGCACCGGGAAAGAACGAAGTGACAATTATCCCTTCAGAGTTCAAAAGCAGGTCCCTGCCCCGTTTAACAGAGTGAACACTGCTCTTCTTTTGCCCTCCTGACACTTCCCATCTCCCTTGTGTGGCTTCCCAGGGCAAGTTCTACCTGCTCATCGAGGAGCTGAGCCAGCTGTTCCGCTGCCTCGTGCCCATCCAGCTGTGGTACAAATACATCGTGGGAGACGATCCCTCGGGCAGCTACTTCCTGGGGGGAATCCTCATCATCATGTACAGCCTCTGCAAGGTGAGCACCACCCCTGCAGTGACCTGCAGCACAGCTGAGGGGAACAAATCCCCCTCCTGTCCCTGCCCAGGAAGGGACCTGCAGCTGCCAGAGGCATTTTGCATCCCCGGCCCGTGGGCATGGCTGAGCTGGGGAAGGTCTGTGGCTGCTCAGGAGTGTTGCATCAGACTCATGAAGTCATTGCTGCTCTCTAATCCCTTCCTGCAAAGGCTGGAGGAGAAGGGGAGAGCCTTGGGGGGAGCAGTGCTGGCGTGTTCAGCTGTCTGCAGCCTTCCAGATGCAGCACTGAAAAGGCAGGTTGCAGTTTAATGTTTCTCTCTGAGCTTTCCTCTGCCTTTCCGGGCAGGGGGGGTGCTCTGTCACTCACAGCAGGCAGGGAGAGGGGTATCCAAGTCCTGCCTGCATAAAACAGGCAGTTCTGCCCTGTTCTATGTCCTGGTCTGGCTGCTGCAAGTCCAGGATCCCAGTGATGGACAAGGGTAATTAATGTGTCCCGAGAAATAAGAATGTTAAGAGCACAAAGTCTGTCTGTTCAATTGTAAGTGTAACTTTATAAATAAGAGTCCCAAGTCTGAGGTCTAGAAATAGCTGTGTTTCTAATTGTGTGTGTTAAACCCTGCCCAAACAGGGCTATCCCTCTGTTGTCCATCCCTCTGAGAAAGGCCAGGTAAGTCAGGCTGGCTCCATCCCTGATCCCTGCCTGTGCTGCTGGCTTTGCAGGAGCAGACTGAAGAACAGGGAAGAGGGAACACATCCCAGCTGAAGACAGAGGGGCTCAGAGGGGCCCAGCAATTCTAAATCCCACTGCAGCCCTTATTGCTGCAGTTGCAGCTCTATGTTATGTAGGAACAGGGCCTGTTCAACCCCTCCTGTCAAGGAATTGTCAGTTCTTGTGAGCAGGAGAGGCAGAGGAGGTCGTGGGAAGTGATTTGGTCACAGCAGGTCTGAGATCAAGCCCAAACCAGAGCAAACAGTGCCAGAACAGAAGCACATGAGACCAGTGCAGCTCCTGCACACCCACCAGTTCCCTCAGCTCTGTGCTCCCTGCTCTTTACTCCTCTCTGGGAGAGGATTGTTTCCCTTTCAGAGATGCCACTGCCTGGATCCCCTGTAGGCAGCGGGATCCAGACCCTTCCTGCCCTCCTGGCCTGGGAGCTCAGGTGTTCAGGTCACAGGTACAGGAACAGATTTCAAGAGATCTTTCCTGTGTCCCTTCTTGCAAAAGTGACTCAACACCTGGAAGAGGGATGGATGCTTACCTGCAGTTCCACCTGCCATTCCTTCCACCTGGAGAAGTCCTCCCAGCAGCAAGAAGCAGTGGGAGCTTCTGCTCCTTGGAGGAAGGGGAGCCAGCCCCAAACCCCAGGCTCAGACACGAGCTGAGCCCTCCAGGGCTGAGCTTAAATAGAGCTGCTGAGCCCCTGGGCAAGGGACTGTGGGTGCAGAGCCCAGGGCAGGCTCCTCAGGGCCGTGAGAGGCTGTTAATGCCCCCAGGGCCCACTGGTGTGAGCAGTTCTTTTGGGGTTCACGTGATGTTTCTGTGCTATGAAGCTTTCACAGGTAGTGTGGGATGACCTGGGCTGGAAAAGCCACCTCATTTTGGCCAGTTGTGCTGGTCTGTTCTTTAGAAGCTCCCTGAGGGCAGGACAGCTGCTTTCCAGCCTTGCCTATAACTTGGGCCCAGGATTGTGGGGCACACCTGGGAAGGTGCCTTGGCTGCAGCCCATTCCTGGGATGTGCACATTCCTTTCTTCGTTCCTTCCTTGAACTCATCCAGCTCACTGGGGGGGATAACGGAGGGATGGGCCAGGGGAAGGGTGCTAAACCCAGGGACGTGTCCCAGGTCATTGTGTGGCAGCTCCTGAGCATGTCCAGGTCAGGATCAGCCCCCTGCACACAGAGACTCTGCTTGGAAGTGAAGGAAAAGCAGGATCACACTCCTGCAGTGCAGAGCCAGGAGTGCCAGGTGTGTGCATCCCATTCACAGCCACAGGAGCTGCAGGTCTCATTCCTTGCCTGAGACACTGAGGATATCCCCAGGGGAGCCCACATTAGCAAAGCCACAAACCACATTAGAAAAAAAACCACAGAAGCCAATTTGGCACCGAGAGCTCCTGGCGAAAATCCAGGGCTCAGCTGGGGCTGCAGCCCCTTCCCCTGCACAGAGGGCAGGATCAGGGGCACTCCCAGAGGGCTGTGTGTCCTGCAGCTCCTGGGAGCTGCCCTGGTGCCTCTCTCGGGGCTGTGCAGACACAAACCCTCTGATTTTGGTGAAGAAATCCCAGATGTTCACCAGCAAGAGCATCCAGGGGTTGTTTTGTCCCCGTCCTGAACAGAAGCACTCACTGTCTGTAACCCGGGTGTTGAAATGATAAAGGCAAGATGAGAGGGGACTGGTGCAACACACTTCAGTGCATGGGTGAGAAATGGGTGTGAGACCACTGAAACAGCAGCTCTTGGGGTACAGGGAGAAAAAATGAAGGGGAAAAGTGGACTGGGAGAAGAGGAGACACATCAGAGCTGGAGCAGAGGCATTGGAAGCCACACTGTAAGCAAAGCAAGCAGAAAAAGTCTGTGAAATGGGCTGTGGAAAAGAGCTGATCCTCGTTAGGAGATGTAAAGTCTGCAGCAGTGGCAGCCTCCAGTGGTAGTTGCTGACTGGAAGCATTACTGGAAGGACCCTGGGAGCCTTTTACATGCTGACTGGAAGCATTATTGGTGCCTTCATTTGATTCCACAGCTATTGCAGGATGATCTCACTGGCATTCCCTGCAGTGAGCCCACTTAATCCTGCTAACCAGGGGAAAACAAGAGAGAGCCAACTCCAGGCACTGTGGTGCCTCTGCAGTGCTGGTCCATCCCACCTTCCCCTGCCCTCCAGGTGGGACCAGCAGGTCCTGGCAGGCCATCAAGGCTCTTCCCTGCACAGCTACTCCTCCATATCCTGCCTGCTTCCGTGGCTTTTTCCCTGTGAGCTCTGCCAGCGGGTAGGGAAGTTAAGACTGACACCCTGCATTAGGTTTTCAAGCTGTTCTCCCTTATTTTAATAGCCCTCACTCCAAGACTGCTCAGTGTCTCCTGTCTTGCTCAGCCCCTTGATATCTGTAGGCAGTTTTATCAGCTCTCCCCCCCAGTTTCATGCTGCTCAGCCAGGCTGGAAATGGTTGTGTCCTTTAGTCTCTTCTCAGGACTCATCTGTGCCCTGCCCAGAGCTGCTGTCAGGGTGTGAGGAGGAGCCCAGAACTCTGAGCACACGCAGTGACACCCTGAGCTGGGCAGCAGAGGGAGGGGCAGGACAGGACCCCGTGGTGCCCCCCTGCTTTTGGCCACCTTTGGGTGTCTGCACAGCACCCAAGTGCTGCAGCCTCTGTCCCTGCCTGGCACAGGAAGCTTCTCCTTCTTTGGGGGAATGAGAGAAGCTCAGCCCCAGTCCTGCTCCTGCTCTGTTCTTCTCTGCACTGGGCTCAATTCCTCTCTGCAGCAGGACCCCTCCCCTCCCTTTCTCCTTTCCCTTCCCTTCCCTTCCCCTTCCCCTTCCCCTTCCCCTTCCCCTTCCCCTTCCTCCTTTCCCTTCATTCCCTTTCTCCTTCCTTTCCCTTTCTCCTTCCTCTTCCCTCCTCTCCCTCTCCCTCTCCTTCTCCTTCTCCCTTCCCTCTCCTTTCTCCTCCCCTTCCCTTCCCTCTCATCTCATCCCAGGGTGGGAATGGGTCCATTTTATCCCTTCCAGACAATTGTCCCCCCCAACCTCTGCCCCTCTCCTCGTCCTCTGCAGCCCCTCCTTTGCAGTCTGTGTTACCAGAGGTTTTTTGGCTGCTCTTCCCCACTGTCAGTTCACATTTATTACACATTTCATGATCACCATGAAATCGTTTTTTTGGCACCATTGTGACTTTTTTTTCCCCTCTGAGTATCCTTTTGGAGACACCATTTCCTGAGGTTCTGGACTGTAAACACACACACACACACACAGAGTTTGTGAAAATTACCTGAAATGGGACATTTTTATTGCAGTCCTTTGACATCTGTGGCCGTGTGGGAAGTGTCAGGAAGGCACTGAAGGTCCTTTGCACCCCCCAGGTAAGGAATGAGACATCAAAGAGCCATTTCAGAGGTGAAGCCTTGTTCCTGTGGGATGGTGGAGCTGAGAATTGCTCACAGAATAAAACCACGTGCTCTGCCATGGCTGGACAAGCTGTTCCCTCCTGTCAGGGATGTTGGGAACCTCTCCTGACCCCTGCCCTGTCCCAGCTCTGGGAGAGGCTCTTCCTGCTTTGTCTGACTGGGAGCTCTGTGTAATATGGATTAATCCACTGAGGCCAAACCTGCAAGGATCTGACAAAACCTTGCAGTGCAGAGTGTGAGAAGGGCTTTAACCAGAACCCTGTCGTGCCTTTTGTGCAGTGACATTCCCAGAGATCAGGAATTATCCCAGGCACTGGTGTTTGGATCTGCTGCACTGACATGCTGGGACTTGTATTTTAAGAAGGGCCACACCACCACTGCAGTTTGTTAGAGCTCACCTGGCCTGTTCTGTGGGCTTGGGCTGCTCATTTTTTCCTCAGCACGTTTCTATTTCCCCCAGTCCTGTCAAAATGTGGGAGAAACATTTACCCTCCATATATCTCAAAAGAAAAGTGGGCAGCCCCTGGGTGCTGCTGCTGCTGCTTTTCTCTCTCCTGTGGTCTAACTTGCCAATAATAATCCCTCCCACTATCCAAACACCTCTGCAGGTGGTGCTGAGCTCATTAAGTGTCATTATCGTTGCTGCACAAGTGGAGGCACCAAAGGGTGGGATCAGCTGGAGGGGCCAACCCAGCAGAGAGCACAGAGCTGCACAATCCACGTGCTGCTGCCCACACCTCCCTTCCCCACCAGGGACACAACCCCAGTGTCCTTCCCAGGCCGTGTGGGCTGGGAACAGCCGTGTTTTCACACTCCCTGAGCCTCCAAACCCTCGGTCATTGGGATTTTCCCCCCCTGTCCCCCGCAGACCTACGGGGTCCGTGCCACCAGCCAGCAGTGCAGCGAGGCAGGAGACATCTGTGCCATCTGCCAGGCAGAGTTCAGGGAGCCTCTGATCCTCCTGTGCCAGGTAAGAGCCCAGGCTTTCCTGCTGGCATTCCTTTGGGTGTCCTGCAGCTGGGGAGAGAGGCACAGGCAGCCTGGGGGGCTCTGAAACCATTTGCTGGGGCTTGGGCTGGGTCCTGGTGGGTGTTTATTGCCCTGGCCTGGGTCACCGGTGGTTCTTGGCAGCTGAGCCACCCTTTAGGGGCTGACCAGCACTTTTTGGGGGGGAAATAGCCTTGTAGGGCAGGGATGGCAGTTGAGGAATGCTGTACTCCTGGCCTGGGCTGGGAGAAGCCCTTGGAACACACCACACTGCCCTGGGGGCTGTTAATGGACCAGAGGAGCCCGTGGCAAGGCTGGAGGTGCTGCCCCAAGGTTTTCTCTTCAGGCTTTGCCTGCTGGGGTTGGAATTGTGAGTCCTGGAGGGGCCCTGGCTGCTGTGGGGGTGTGAGCAGGAAAACCCCAGGCACGGGGAAGGGAGCTGGTGGGATATGAGCTCTCTGTGGTATCAAAATAAAGCTCAGGAGCCTGTTTTTGGAGAGCTTCATGGAGAGCTTTTGGAGAGCTTTTATCCCCTTAGACAACAGGGTTATCAAATTAAAGCAAGTGGGTCTCCTGTGCATCAAAGGTGCCTCTCAGCATTGCTGTGAACATCTGTGCAGATGTTCCTGAGCTGGGAGCCCCAGAGGAGCTGCCTCTGTGTCAGGGCTGAGGTTTGGGGAGTGACAGTTCTGCTGACTCCACATGAGCTGAGCTCTCAGCTTCTCCTCATACTCCCTCCCTGCCCTATTCCTGCTCTTCCAGTGTGGGACTGGGTGGTGTGAGCTGGGGATCCACCCCTCCTGATCCTGGTGCCCAAGGCAGGATGGAGGGAGAACCCAGAGAGGGACCAGTGCAGAAATGAGGGGAGAGAAGGGGTGAAAACTGGCATTTATGGAAAGGGGACACTGGGCATTGGGAGCAGAATAAAGCAAATGCAAGGAGTGTGGGGGGGTAAAAAGTGGGTAAAAGTGAAGACTTAAATAACTCAGGATGGAAACATGGCAGAGAAAACCTCTCCCTACTCTGTTAGGCCTTTTTAACGTTTCTCTCTAGTGCCACATTAAGAACTAATAAATCATTGGCTTTGGCAAAGACGTGCTGGTAATGCTGGGATTTATTTTCCCATGCGAGTATGGCTGTTGTGGATCCCTCCCTGCTCCCAGGGAGGGCCCTGCTGCCTGGTGACACTGCCCCTTGTCCCCACAGCACGTGTTCTGCGAGGAGTGCCTGTGCCTGTGGTTCGACAGGGAGAAGACGTGTCCCCTGTGCCGCTCGGTCACCGTGGAGACCCTGCGCTGCTGGAAGGATGGCACCACCTCTGCCCACTTCCAGGTCTACTGACACAGGGCACCTCATGCAGGGGAGAGGAAAAACCTGGAAAATCACCCCCTGCCCCCCCGTTTAGCTGCCCTGTGTGTTTGTTGTCAGCCTTCCTCCCAGCTCTGTCCCTCCAGGAGCCAGCGGAACAGTCGTCACCGGCCGGGAACTCCGTCCTCAAAGGCAAGGAGATGTGGTTTGTGCCTTGGCTGAGCTACAGCCGAGGATTTTCCTGGAGCTGACATGGTTGTGAACTGCCTGGGATGTTTCCTGCTTCCCTGTCCTTTTAGTGTGGATAAATCCCATGTGGACAAGGCAAGGGAAGCGTGGATTTCATGGCTATGACCTGATGTGCTGCAGCAAAGCTGTGCCCGGCTCGGGCCTCTGCTGAGGTGTCTCACGTTATATGGCCCCAGATTCCCTGGATCCACAGCTTTGTAGGATGACACAGTGGCTGTTACAGAACCTCTGGGAACTCTTCCCAAGCAGGGCTTCAGAACCTCATGTCCAAAATGTCACGTGGGGCTGGAGAAATGGCATTTCCCACCAGCCACATGTGTGCATTTCCCAGCAGCCACCGATGGCACAACTGTGGCTGCAAGTGTAATAAAATCATTAAAAAGTCGGGAAAGACCAGGCAAGTGAAGCTGGGAATTACATTTATTTTTCTTGGGAATGTTTTCCCTTTTTAATTTTCGTGGTGAGGCTTTGTGATTTCCCAGTATATGAGGAGAACAGCGGGAGGCAGAGGGAGATTGAAGTGACAGAATCCTGGGAGTCGAGTTGGATTTGTCTGGGTGAAAAATCCAGCTCCTAACCAAGAGCATCCCACAAACTGAGGGGTCTCTGCACCTGCTCCTGGGTGCAGCCACTCCAGGCCAGCCCCACTCGCATCCAGGACCTGCCTGGGTCCCAGACCAGGAGAACTGGAGCTCCTGGAGGGATCCCTGCGTTGGCAGGGAATGAAGCCCTTCCTGTGGCTGAGGTGCTGCAGCAACAGGGAGCTGCTGTTTGTTCTGGAGCTTTCCCTGTCCCCAAAGCACCTCTGCTCCTGCTGCACAGCCAGGAAGTGCCTCCCTAGGAACTGTGGTGTTTTCCCAGCTCATTGCCATGGGAATGGCCCGAGGTGATGGTCCCAGCTGAGTGACAGTCCCAGCTGAGTGACAGTCACCCCTGAGCCCATCCCCTGGGGGAGATGAGCTGGGTCTGCCTTCACTGGAATCCCCAGGGGGAGAATTCCAGCCAACAGGAGCTGGGGGCAACAGGATTAAACTCCACATTTCTTTGGGATGTGGCAGGAGGGGGGATGGTGGTGGGAGGCAGAGCCCGAGCAGGGAAGAGTCCAAATCTGGCTTGAGAGCTGTAGGGAAGCAGAGAAGGGAAAGCTTTGCTTTCCAAGACAAAGTGATTTGATTCCCGTTACAAGGATCCTGTGAAAGCAGGGAATTAGCCCAAGGAATCTGGTTGCTCTCTGCAATGGGAATGGCCCCTCTGGGATGGGGGAAGGCAGGAAGCAAGGCTGGCAGTGGGCACAGGAATGGGTGATAGCCTGGTGTATCCACTGGGAAGAGGGCAAAGGAGGGATTCCGTGGGCAGGCAGCTCCTGAAAGGAGTGCCAGTTTTCAGGGAACCAAAGGGTTGGTGCTTCTGCTTTCCAAGTGTTTGAAAAGCCACTTCTGTTTCTTTTTTTATCCTAAATGCTCCTGGAAAATGCGTTTGGGCAAGTGTAGGAGAAGGTCAGTGGGAGCCCAGCACTGCAGAAAGGGTGGGATAAATGCTCCAGAATTAGTCAGTGATTAGGCAGGAAATCAAAGGGAAAGTCTGGGAATATGGTTTGAATTCTGAAAGTCTTTTTGAGAGGGGAATACAATTCTACCCTCTCCTAGAACACGACACCAGAAAACATCCAGGGGGAAACTTCAGCTCCAGTGATGGGAATCCTGATTTCCACAGGAAAACAGGGAGGGCTGTGGGAGGAAATCACTCAGAGAGAGGAAATAAAAACCCGGAGCCTTTTTTTTTTGCCATTGAACAGTTATTTTTCTCTCTTTTTTTTTTTAATAAAGTCCTTATAAATATGTACAAAGAGTCTCAGCATACGAAATTCCTTTTACAAAAGAGAGAAGCCCCTTCCAAGCAGGACCAGGAGCCTCCAGGGGCTCTGCTCCTGCCTTGGGGAGGTGGAAACCTGCACAGTGACTCTGCTGGAGTTACACCCCCCTGCCTGTCATCCCTGTCATTCCCTTAGCATTGGACCTGGGAGAGAGACTGGGAAGTTCTGCAGTGTCCTAAGGATCGATGATGGGAAGGGTTTTGTGGTGAGCTGGTGTTTGAATTGACTGGAAAGGTGATGCTGGAAACACCCATGGAATTAAACCCCCCTGAGCTGGGTTTGCTCTGCTGAGGAGCCACTTGGAAGTGATGGTGTAACTAATCCAGGGTGTAACTAATCAAGGGTGTAACCAATAATGGGTGTCATTAATAAAGGCCATTTAACACCCAGAAGCTTTCAGTGAATATTTATCACGCTCCAAAGTCACTTTGTGTAAATATTAAACCTCTCAGGGAACTCGAGCCCTCGGGTTTTCCTGCCCAGTGAGGTTGGATCAGTCACACCAGAATTCCCTCCTGTGTTCAAATAAATATTGTCAGGAAAAAAAAGATCCACTTGTTTTGTGGTTTGTAGTCTAATTTTTTTTCCTGGAGGTGGGGACTGGCCATCCTGGAACAGCAGCTTTTCCCACTGCTGGGGAGGGCAGAGCTGTGCTTGGAAGTGCTGGGATGTGAGATCCTTGTGCTGCAGGTGGAGTGTGATCCAAGGCACTGGGATTGTCCTGTGCTGGGAACAGGGCTCTGTCTGGGAACAAAGGTGGCCTTTGGAATGTGAGGGGTCGCTGGGAGAGGGTGAGAAGCCCAAGGCAGGAACAGCACATGAGGATCCCTCCCCTCCACTTCCTCAGGAAGCCCAATTCCCGTGGCATTCACACTGCCCCAGTCTCCTGGATCTTGAGCTGGCATGGCCAGTGTCCCCTCCTGGGGTGGGATGGGCAAGTCCAGCTCACCCCCAGCCCAGGGGGACACGGAAACGGGGCTGGTCCGAGGCCTGGACTGCAAATCCCATTTGCTGGGAGAGAAGTGGCTCCGAGGAATGTTGCGCAGATGCTGTTCACCTGCTGGGGGGTGGGAAACAGCCAAAAGTTTGGACCTGGGCAGAAAATGTGTGTCCAGGATTTAATGTGGAGCCACAGGTAGTTTGTTATTCACATGTTGGGCTCCTGTCGACATCCTGGACAGATGTTTTAAAACCATTTCTAGGAAAATTCAATATTAAGGTGGATGTACCTTTGTGTCCTCACTGTGGGCCATTTTGCACGTGGCAGTGCAGTTTTCCAGCAGGGAATTGCCTCATTCCAGGCTCTGTGGACACAGAGACTGCAGCAGTTGAACCAGTTCTGTCTGCACTGGGGCTGATCAGCAGGAACAGTCTCTGCCTCTGCCGGGGGTTTAAGACCCCTGTAATTTTACTGTGATACAGAAACGTGATTTTAGTGTGACACAGAGACAGAACAAACTCACAACTCGGATGGAATTGATTCAAGAAGTGTTGGTGATTGCAGGGAATTCTGCAGTGTCGGGCTGGGCTGGATGAGGGCGATCCCTGCCCGGTGCTCTGCAGCAGCAGTGGGATGGGTTTGTCCTCCCTCATCACTCACAGCTCCCCGATTTGGGTGATTTGCTGCGTGTTTGTGTTGGTGACGCCTCTCCTGGGCACACAGAGGTGTCTGACAGGAGGCCTGGCCCCATTCCTGATGTTTTTACCGCTAAAAATAATTCTGGGAGAAGAGGGCGGGCTGTGGAATGGATGTGCCAAACCCCGGGCTGGGTGTCAGCGGGGCAGCCCGGGACTGACCCGGCCAAATCTGAGCAGCACCACAGGAGGTGACCAGCAGCCCACGCTGGGCTGCTTTTTCCCCTTGGAATACAGAATTCCAGCCTGTGCTGGGAGCTGCCTTGGCCGAGAGCTGCTTTAAAAATTCATCCCGGCTTTCCCCGCAGCCGCGCGGGCGGCGGGAGCGCAGACAATGATCTCAGCCCGCCCCGCTCCCGCTGAAACCCGAGCCGGAGCCTTTTGTTTTCCCTTTGGAAAGCGCTCCCTGGTCTTCCCAGCTGATCGAAACCCGGGGCTGTGAGAAAACAAACGGGGGGGAGAGAGGAACTGTGCTGGTTTCCTGCCCACGAGGAGGGTACAGACGCTGCCCGGCTGTGGCAGGGCAGGGAATTCACGGGGAATTCACAGGGAATTCGCAGGGAGTTCACAGCATGCTTCCCTTGCCAGTACAAACATCACCCGGGGGGAGAGCAGATCTTCTAAAAACGATAAAAACACCCCTCGTCAAAAAACGGCGGCAATTCAACAATAGCAATTACACCAGAAAATGTAAGGCTTCGACAAATCCGTGCCCTCTAGTAAGGAATTCCAGTTCTGTACAGGGAATTCTGGCTATAAAACTCCAAAATTAACCCTCAGTTCATGCTAAACATCCAGTTTGGAACTACAAAAGTGAAGCAAATCAGGATTTGGGGCACTGGAGCTGCTCTGGATTCCACCTGGGAAGCACCCCAGGTTTGGCTGTTCCACGGCAGCACCACGTGGCTTTAACTTTTTTTGCTGAGTGTTTGGAAGCAGCCAGGAGACCAATCCCCTGGGAGTTCTGAGGTTTGGGAATCTGACAGAGGGTTGGGACAGAGGGAGAACAGCCAAGCTCTGCCTGAGGCTCACCCCTGACTTGGGGGCTCTCCCGAGGTGGAGCCTCGAGTGCAAGGACAGAACTTCTTCCCCTTCTCCATGGCTGAGCTGTTCCAGGGGAATTGCCTCTGCGGGAAGGACACCAGGAGCAGCCTGGAGGCTGCAGGGGCAGGAGAACCACGGGCACTGCACAGGGAAAATGGGATAATGCATATTCCAGGGCGGAGTTAGTTACATTCAGAGCTGATAGAGGTGAGGAACCTGTGCCCTCGGAGGGAGCTGTCCCAGGATTGCCTGGGGACACCCCACGGGCTGGGGAAGGAGGACAGACCTGCAGGTGCCACATCCAGCCTTCCCCCAGCAGTGATTCCTGCTCTGATGGCACTGTGTGATTCCACACACACACAGTTCCACCTCTGAGTGACCTGCAGAAACTCCTGTTTTTAAGACAGTGCCCAGTCTGGCACTGGCAGCACTGCTGGAATCACTGCTGGAATCACTGCTGGAATCACCTGAGGCTCCTCCTCTTGCCAGAAGAATTTGTACTTATTTCAGCAGGAGACTGAGCTGGGAAGGGGTTCAGGATGCCGAGGATTACTGAGCATCAGGCCAAAAACGGCAGGAAAAGGTTTCCCGGGGTCCTGAGACCACCCAAAGGCTCCGGACAGACACCACGGAGCTCCAGATCCCTCCCAGCACCCAGAGCTCCTCACTGGGAACCACCTGCCCTGCCAGCACAGCCCTGGGGCTGTCTGGGGATCAATAACACCCAGGAACTGGCTGATCAATATATGGATTGATCAGTATTGGGCTCAAACTCGGCAGGGAATCTTTGATAAGGGGAGAATTCGGCTTTCAGGTTCCTTGGAAACCTTTCTCCTGCAGCAGTGAAAATGCTGGATGAACACTCAGCGTCTTCCTGGGCTGGGAGAGGGGTGGGAAGTGTTTTTAAAGGACAAGGAGCCAAACTTCCTTTGGAAATCAGGTTCTAACATTCTTTGAAAATGCCCCCCCTGCCACGGGAGGGTGAATTTTCTGGTGGAAATATCAGAAGCTTGGAAAAAATGTTCCTAAAAAACCTGTGCCTAGTCATTCCTGTGAGTAGGATCTGGTGATAAGGGACCCAAAATCTGACAGGTAGTTTTGGCTGCAGTGAAAAAAGTGCTCAGTACCAGACTGAAAAAAAGCCCTTTGATTTCTAAGGCCAAGTTCTCCTGTTATCCCCTGCTCTAGTGATTAGAGTTCTCTCCCCTGGGTCACAGGATTTGGGACTGCTTAAACCACCATCCAGGAGAATTCCCAGCTCTGGAGCTGCAGGAAATGCTGCACCAGCAGACCTTGATGTGGAAAGAGCTGGTGTGTCCTTTCCACCTCAGTGAATGCTGCAAACTGTCAGAAGAAAAAAAAAAACAACTGCTCCAAAGAAAAAAAAAAAAAAAGAGTTTTATAAAGTTCTGGGGGTAGATTATCTGGTTTAAGTTTCTGCAGAGATTGAAACAAAGAAAAAAATAGCACCTTCTCAACAAGTCTTATTATTTCTTTTTTTTTTTTCTGCTATCTTGTGTATAAATATCAATAACCAAAATAGATCTTTCCTCGTCCCACGCTTCTGAACATCCTCTTGAGGGGGGGAAACCGTAGCACCACAGAGAGAGAGGCAGTTTAGCCCCGGCCAAATATTTAAAACGTAGCACCAGAGAAACTAAAGTCAGAGGAAAAAAAAAAAAAAAAAAAAGCCGATCCCACCTGGTGCCGGCGCGTCAATATTTACACACTCCCCGCCGCCAGCCCGGCATTCCAAGGGGTCGTTACTCGGCACGGACAGGGCAGCGCTCCTCCTGCCCCACGCTGCCAGGAGCAGGGGCGGCCGCTGTTCCAGCGGGGAGACCCCCAGCCCGGGATCGCGCCGCCGGCACTACAGGGAACGTCGCTATCGTTCTCACCACGAGGCATGCACGGGCAACTCTGCGTACAGGAGGGTTTACATTCTTCTATATATAAGCATTTTTTTTTGTGTGTGTGTCTCTGGTTTTGCTGCTGGGCCCTTGAACAGCTCCTTTCCGTGCAAAATCCTTCTTTTCACGTCGCCCAAAGCACTTCCAGCATCTCCCCAACTTCTTTCTTTATCTCTCCACCCCTTTCACAGCTGCTGCTCGGGCTTCTGGATTTTCCCTGGAGGAAAAGGGGAAACAATTTTCTCCAAGGGCACAGGGTTTGCTCCAGCCTAAGAAAGCAAAAAAGAACTGGGTGTTAATTATGTCGATGCACTGGGTACAATAAAAGCTTCTTTTTAATTTATGCTTGAAGCCTCCCCTAAAGTTGCAGACAGGAGTTTATAGGGAAGGTTTGTGGCTCAACACCCTCAGCCCTGTGCAGGGTTTCTGGTGAGCTCTCACTTCACCAGGCTCCTTCTTCTGGGTGCTCCATCCTCATTTCCATCCCGTTAACACAGATGTTAACTCCTTGGGAAGCCATTCGTTTTGTCACAGGTAGGAAAGGGGGTGCTTGGAGTATCACAGGAGACTGGGAGAACTCACTCATTCCTGGATCTGCCACTGATTAGATTTGTGGCCTGGGGCAAACCACTGCTTCAGTTCTGCTGCAAAATGAGGGCACTAATAACTTATTTGCCTCATAGGTGGGCTGGGAGCCTTAATTAATAAAGTGCTCAGAGAAAAGCACCCATCTAAGTGCAAATTAGCAGGAGAGCAGCCCAAGGGGCATCTGCTCTGAAATCCCCATTTCCCAGCGTTTATCCCTGGCTGGGGAAGGTCCCATCGTTCACAGGCTGCGACAATGAGCGATCTGAGAGAAACCTCCCCGGGATGAGGTGACTTCACCCGCCTGGGAGGGAGGAGGGGCAGGCAGTGCCCCTGCAACCGCAGCAGCTCTGGAGTCGGAGTGTAATTAGGGCTG